GTCTAAAGTCAGTGATTCGTACATTTCTCACATGATATTACAAAATGAATGAAAACTCAAAACTGTCTGTATTTAATTCAAAAATGCAAACTCTTGTTAAGGATATTGAACCTCTATGTCGTTTGCAAATCATATGTATGCGATTTGGACGATACAATACTATAATTATATAAATGTTTACGTACTAATAAGTAGCCATTCAAATTGTAATGGTTACACATTTAATAGGCGGACAATACACTTACAAAGTGATCAATTAAACTACAAACCAGTATAAAATTATGCATCACCAACATCTAAACGTTTATGATATAATGTACTCAAATAGTTTTGTGATGCTTCATAAAGTTGTGAACGATTTATTCAAATACAAACTGATATTAAACTATATGACTGTTATGTAACCAGAGAGTTATCAATCGAGAGGGTAGTCAGAGAAACGAACATCTAATGACACTTAATTTAAAACAGATATCAATAATCAAGCACATATCTTAATAAAATAATGTTAATAATAAAAAACTTAAATAATTTTCCTAACATCAGTCAGATTTTTGTTACAATCGGATGTTTCATACAATTATTGTTTTTTTTATTTGTATCGAATAACTCATAGATCGATAAAATAATACAGAGCGGACACAATGATTGAAATTTTTCAACTGATATGTTAAAAAAGATGAGAAATTAATGTACCACAACACTTCAGAACAACACGTCTGGGTGATATTACAACTATGACATGCAATAAACGTCTAATTAAAATATGCTCCATACTAACGTCTTATAATTACGATTCTAAGATATATTTAATCTTTTTTTTTAATATTATATAATATTTTTTTATAGTGTAAAAATAGTTTCTTGACACAATTTTTTTTCAAATATTTTCTTTTTCGTTCCGCGAGTTCAACGCTCGGTTTATGCACCAGATATTGTTAATAATGCCCATCGAGCAGACGACTGTATATTGTTAAGAATAATAAATACTTCAAATGTAAATATATCGAGAAACAATTCTAGACATTTTCATCTTATTATTAGGATCAGAAGAGGCTTTGCAAAAATCAACGCAAAATAATTATGGACGGCAAAATTGCGATTTTACTTTCAAATTGCACTTAAATTTTTATAGCTGAAGTACATTTTTTTTTTTGGTATTTTTATTTAATAAAACTATTTTTTTCTACTGAATCTCAAGGTGCATTATTAACGAGTTGGTGACAATAATTGCAACGGTTTAATTAAGTACAATATTGAAATTGTGGACTGGTAATTTTAACTAAACTATACTATATCGTGTCCAATCCATAGATCACTATATATCTGATTCATGAACGTGAATTTATACTAACTAGCATCCTAAAATTTACTAACTACTGAATGCAAAGAAACATCCACTATTAATGAATGTCACAAACATCTAATTATTTGAAAGAAAAAAAAACTAAATCTATCCGCCGAGGCCGGCAACAAATGTATCCGATACAATACAACTATCTGATATTAATATATTAACGAACCCGATGTAAAGCTAACGTGACATTTATACTTAAACACGGAACAGACATCGTTGTGACTCCGATATAACTCCGATGATCGATTTCAAACCATACGAACAACTTGATTGTTAAAGAACATTAAGTCTGATGTTTAAAGTAACTGAAATATGCATTCGTTGAAACATTTAAATAAATATTATTATTATTTTTTTGTAAATCCCTTTATATTTTCGTTACTTATATTCTATGCCATCTAGCGTCGGTAAAAATCGCTAAATAATAACGACACTCGTCTTTTTTTTGTCACTATCTTTATACGCTCTATTAATTCTATAAATCGATTTGAACAATTTATATAACTTTATATTTATTTTTCTTCAAAAAATGCACATTTATAAAAATTTTTTTTTCGTTATATATCAACTTGTATATTAACTTTATATATTAATTTTATTATTGCTCTCGACGGCGGAAGTCCTTATATTTTAGTATATAATTTTAATATTTTTTTAATACTCCATATAAAAAATGGGTTTCTAGCGACATCGATTGCACTGTTATATAGATACTATGACATTTGCTGCCGGCTCCTATCATATAGTTACAGTTTTATATCAAAGGCTCTCAAGATGCTACTTCGCATTACATATAATTAATTTTATAATACATATAAACTTGTAAATAATGTTACTTTCAGCTAATCGATTGTGTCACGTTTCACCGTTCTTATATTTAATACACCAATGTTTTGCAAATTTCGACAAGATCATATCAAAAATAGCATATAGACGGTTAACACCAATAATCTGTATTCTAACGTCTTATTTAGGTCACACGAAACATTTCAGCCGCACGTCGGCAGATAATATCTATTGCTACATTTTCTTTTGTGAATGCATCATATTTAACACGAACGTTTGATTACAACGTACAACCGTATAAAATGTACATCTCTTCACGATATTAACAGCCAATATGTTACCGACTTTTATAATTTCACTTTTTACTTTCTTAAAAAACAAGAAGTCAGATCGATTATTATATATTTAAAATGCGAATACAATAAACAACATAAAAAAATGTTGCATGGAGATCCATAATGAAGTATACTATTGAAAGCTGATGAACGAATGAATGAATAAATGAATGAATGAAATAGGATTATTTTATTGAGCAATATTATAAGTTCTAAATGAATTCATTTACTTAAAACAAAAAACAAAGATGGCGATAGCTGAATGGAAAAGTGAAAAACAATTTGGAATGTGTTATGGGGAATTGATGGAGAATTCAACGAAAAAAAGAAATTGAGTTTCAAGACATTATTTGAAATGATGAAGTTTATATACTGGGGCTATATAAGACATAGAGGAAAAATTTTACATATAATCATAAAGTTATACCAGCAAATGAAGCATTCCGACCATATTGTATTTATACCTCTCGAATAACACAATACGAGATCTCCACGAGAGGTATCGGAATTCTTAGCCTACGAAATAATAAATTGGCCATCGAAACGGTCCACTTAATGAGTTCTCAACACATTGACTAGTTAAAAACACTGAACGCTCAGACTTATATGTATAGAAAATTTTGTGCCAGATAAAAATGAACGAGAATCTTACGGACTATAACATGACAAGAAAATCAAACAGATATTACACACTGACAGAGAAAAGTTAAGGGGTCAAAAAGAAGCTAATTATAAGGCCATTTTTAATCGTTGAATCCTATATAAAAATGGCCGCATCTGAAAATATACAAACAATTTGAATACTGAAGTTTATATTTTGGAATCTTGCGAAATTTTTGTTTTCAAGTAACATGTAAATCAATCAAGATGAATATCATGAACGAAAAATTTTTCTAGATTGTTCTTGAATAGAAAAAAAAAACAGCTTAACCATATTATAGTTTAGATAGGCTACATTTTTATATTTAATTTAGCATGCTGGTTAAAAGTACGACCCAACGAAAATTGCTTGCGAAATTATAAGCGGTAAAAAATCCATTAAAAAATAAATAAACAAAAAAATAAAACGAACAAACTTTTCATTCAAGATATTACAATACATGTAACTTGAAAATATTTTTGCAAGATCTAGAAATTAGACATATCAATCTTCAAATTGCTTGTTTTTATCCCTAAATGACGATTTCGTCAAAGTTGAAAAACCACTGTAAATTATGTTTTCCTTTTGACTCATAATTCTTTCTATTAATGTATATCGCTACTCACATGTTAATCACACACTAGAAATAGTTTAGAATGAAGTAGCGGACATTTAGACACAACCTTCAATGAGCCTTTTTTGAGGCAAAAAATTAATGGATAGCAAACATTTTTGCGTGCATCAAAACCAATTTAATTATTTCATTTCATATATATTTAGGTTTCTCGTGTTGTTACTTCGTGGCCGTATTATGTGGCATAAACTTCGTATAAATATGACTCTAATTAAATAATACTTATAAATATGAGTATGAATGAGAACACATACGCTCGATGCTCCGACTTGCATCAAGCGAACAGTGTGCCGTTTCCAAAATAAACAGAGATCTTTACTCATACAGAGTTAAAATAAAACTAAGAGGTATTTGATATTTCCACATCAAATTATCTGTAATTCAAGTCTTATTTAAGAAATTACGTTCAGTAGCAGTCTGTATGCTAAAAAATATTGCATTGATTACTCATTGTAATATTTAAGATAAAAGATTTAGTTTCAATAGTAAGTAAGGAAGAATTAAGTTTGCATCCGACTTAGTTATTACCAAGTACACAACAAGCTTTTAAATTACACTTCAAAACAGAATTAGCGATTAAACTGATGTTTCATCCAATTTAGGCCGCTACAGGATTTTAAAACAATTCTCCATACATGCAGATTTCGATCTCACATAAAGACTTTATATTAAGTAATAATTATTTTCAAGGAGACATTAATTCCCTAGCGCCCGTGAACTTAATCATATATTTTCCATTTAGAACATAAAATAATTCAAATTTATTATAATATAAACAATTGATCGATAATTGTTCCTTACAATGTTTCTATAAACAGATTCATGTTAGACAAGTCAATAATCATAGTCCGCGTGGTCTTAATAACATTCATCCATTAAATTTAATCATTTCAAACGGATTCTAATAAGCTTTCCATATTCAATGTTCATTCATAAAATACTTTTATATCTTTACTAAGGCGCTTGTGACGTCATATCTCAAAACCTTTCAATATTAGTGTCGTAGGTATGACGTCACTCGGACCACGTTCTCTAATATCACTAGCGCATGCGATTTGCTATGCGCTGAAGTACTCAAATTACATATAACGGATATGGGGTACAGGTAGTGGGGTAGTTGGGTAGCGGTAGGAGTGGGGGTTGTTAGAGAGTGTGCATCTGGTATAAAAGCCGGCAGCGCGGCCACCGCCGGTAGTGTGACAGTTTGCGCGCGGAACACCGCATCCTACAAACTATCGGCTGCCGGCGTCATTTGCCGTTAGTTTGAAGGGCCGCGTTGAGCTGCGTCCACAGATCCTTCTTGCAGGACTTCGATCTGGAACAATCACTGTGAGGTTGTGAACAAATTACATGTTCTTATATGGTTTTCTTATATACAAATCTTAATTACTACAACAATATATATTTATATTAAATGTTGGATTATTAAGAAAAATTTTTTTTTGTAAACTACAGCATTTGAAATGAATTAATCATGAAGATAATATATTATCATTATTCATTTTATAGTTGACTGTTGCATATTCTCTATATTGAAATAATCAAATTACTGTACATTTTTGACTGCAAAAGTATTAGTATAAAAGTACTACTTAATTTTATTACATCCTAGAAGCCTGAAGTGTTTACAACCTAAAGTCGAATATTTACAAAATTTATCTTGTTACGTTGGCATATATGTACAGACATCTAGTTTAACGTGTCATGTAATAAATACCTGCGTAAAGATGCCAGCCACTCTTTGAACTGTGTGTTTCCCTCCGGAGTCAACTGGAATGCAGTGCGAGCTGATAACACGATCCCAACAAACTCTTCATACTCGACCGGCGTTAGATGATAAAGCTTCTGATGTATGCACTGAATGTACCTAAACAAAGAGACTCGGATAAGAACATTTTATATGTAATAAAACACGAATATGTTTTAAGCAACAACTGCAGCAAAATTGTCCTAACTATTTTTGTATAAATATGTGTATTTATAAACATAGAAAATATAATTAAATTTATTAAGCGAAATCTAGTGTCAGATATAGAAAAAGTAGCTGAAAGAAGGGCCGAAAGAGAAACACAAAATGTGGCTCACACTTCCTGCCTTATACCTACAGTAGTTTACGAAACGTAAAACTAGCTAACTCTCTCTCTCTCTCTTCACTAAGTTATATCTCCCTCTAAATTAATGATTCGTGGAATTCATCAGACAAATTCTTTAGTCAACGTTACGTATAAAAATTTTATCCTCAAAAATATAAAAAAAAATCTAACTATCGACAGCCGTTGACAGCCCTGAGAAAAACTAACAGAATAAAGACGTCAATAAATATTATCACTTTTCACCTCTCATCAATAATGTCGTGTACGTAATTGTTACAAGTTAATTATAACATTCTTATCATGTTTATTATTTGTATGAAATGAACAATTAAGATTAAAAGAGATGAATTATCATATATACAATGCTTACATTGTTTAAAAAAACATGACGTATCGGAAAAATTTAATGTCATAGGAAAATATTTATCTAAATTGTCCATAGATAATAGAAAATGTATACTGACCTCTAACCTAACTCTTATATACCTAGGGTTGTCAAAATTTAAAAAAATATATATTTAATACTAGAAGACCCGGCGAACTTCGTATCGCCCTATAATCAAGAAATATCTGTTACGTTTTTTTTAATAAATAAAGTTTTTAGATTAATTAGATTATACCTTAGCCTCAGAAACACGCGGTGGTTATGCTATTATGTATTAAATAGTCGCTCATATATGACGTTTGTATTTTTAACATAGCGCCATCTATTGAATACTTAACTCAGTCAACGGATAATTGTAATAATGACAAATTATTTTCTTTAATAGACTAATAATTTGTAATAAAATCATATTGTGACTATTAATTGAGATGTAAGCTATCCTATCTTTCAATTTGGATCAAAATGCACAAGGAATGCAAATCAAATTTAAAATCGGTTTAGTAGTTTCGGAGTCCATCGCGGACAAACACGTGACACGAAATTTTTATACAGGGTGACTGGTGAATTACTATCGATATTTGAGGACGTGATATTTGACGATCATATATGACAAAATAAAAATTAATATAACATAAATATTAATAAACTTCTAAGTAAAGTTAACCAAAAGTTATGTAATTAATTACGCATCGTATGAACACCCTACAGATTAGGTATACACACACACTCACACAGACGCGGCGGCGGCGTAGTGTTGTATCAGCACGCCGCCGCACGCGTCCACACTTGGAACACTTGGAACGTGTACACACTTTATTTATTTATACGGAAATTTAGTCAAAAATTAAGTACCTATTTTTTTTACATAATTCGAATGAGAATCATGTACCGAGTATGCTCCTTAAATATTGATAGTAATTCACCAGTCACCCTGTATATGTAAAAAGATTAGGTACTTACATCTGTTGGCATTTATGTACAAGTGGTGCAAGTGTTCCTCTAAGGTGTTGCATCACGAGGTGATGTGGTCCGCCTCGAGCCAACCAATGCGCTGACTCCACGCAGAGTTCATACAACACGAACGGTGACACAACTGAATTAACTGCGCACACGCAAAACTGGTGCAAATACTGCGCACCAAGACGCTTTGACACACGTAGTAACCATTTCACGTGCTCGCCGTATGGAGGATTTCTGTAACAATATCATTATTAATAGATGTTTGGAGATTACTTAATATTAATTTTTTAATATAATAACTGTTGTTTCTTTGTATTTTTGAATATATTTTACTGAAACAGTTGTTATATTCTCTGGTTATTCTTTTCTTATTATCGACTTTATTATTTTGAACCAGTTCAATTTGTAAATAACATACATTACTCCTATTTTATCAAATATATAACAAATAAGTCTATGAGAAAATAATAAAATATAACTTTAGTTAACTATCAAAACATTATATTGCTTTATATATTAATGAGTTAGTGAATAGGTTTACCTACATATTATTACTAACTACGTCGTCATCAGCCTATCAGAGCCCACTGCTGAGCAAAGGCCTCTATCTCACATTGAGAAGGTTTGAGCATAAATCACCACACTAACTACGTATATTATATTAATTACCTTCCAAACTTATTCTGCGGACGGTCATCGTGAACTCTTCTAGCTTGTGTCTCTAACGCTAACATCCCCACTCTATAAGCAGCTAGAAGTCTTCTGAGCTGTGCTTGAGGTAAGGCGGGCGGCGCGACCCCGTTCCCGCTAACACTGACCCCGCTGACCGTGTTGACTCCGCTGACTCCGCTCACGCTGACCGTACCGACCGTACCTACTGTGACCACTCCGCTTACACCCGCTGTTGGTACAGCCGCGTGTGTTGCCGGCAACGGTGGTGGTATTGGAGCCGGATGCTGTTGAATTAAGTCATTATTGGCCTATATAACACTACAATGTTGAAATTAATTACATATAAACATACAAGTATATTTTTAACATTATACTTACTATGGTTAACTAATAAAATCAGTATAACTTCTTTATTGTATATCATTCAACTATTACATTATGAGATTAATTTTGACGCCAAGAATTCGCACAGGCTACAGGTATTACATCAACAAGGTGCTATAACTATTTTGTAACATGTACTTCATATATAGATGTTTATCAAGAGAGTTTATATTAAAATTTATATACATTAACGGTCATCGGTGGTGGATGTGGTGCGTGTGGCACATGTTGCGGCATCGGCGGCGGGTGTGTAGATGTTACTATCCCGTGTACTATGTATGGAGGCAACGCGTACTGTGGTCCGGGGTGACCCGCTGTAGCACCGCCGTATTGTACCTGGAATGTTAATAAAACGTTTCAATACACAAATTTAAAGTAAGAAATTGATTTAAAATAGAATAATTGACCTATAAAAATCATATTAATATATTTATAGTAACAAAATCTTTGTTACAAGCTATTGATGTTCCAAAGCAGTCAACATCGTTGTAAAGCTACTTATATCGAATATATATACAAACCTGTGGTGGATGCGCGACTTGCAGCTGATATATGGGTGGTGGGTAGTGGTAAGCGAAGGGATATGGCAGCGGGTATGGTAATGGTACCGCCAATGGTGGCGGCGCGCGGTATTGAGTTTCCTCAGGAGTTTCACCTTCCTCAGTGGCTTGACGGAGATATAACTCGTGCCAGTACCGGGCTACGGTATACAAAACTTCGGGGTAGACACCTCCCCCTGAAATTTATAATTATATTAATGTTAATAAGTTGAAAGTGATGTTTATGGTTATAAAATTAGGTAATAAGAAATAAATATATGCTATAATGAGGCAAATATTTACACTGTCTTGTGAAGCCTTAGATAGCATAAATACTATATGTTCCAAATTCAAAACCTATTATGATCAAAGTCGACCTCAAACAAATTTAAGTAACTGTCAATTCTAACAATGTTTTCATATATATGTGAAGCCTATTTAATACCTTTGGCCGCTGCCTCGACTGTAAGACATGCTCGTTCCAACATGGCGTCGCTCTGTTCCTTACACTGTAGCACGGCTCTCTGTATCTCATTATAGTTGAGCGCGTGTGCGTGAGGCAGTACTGACAACGCCAGCTCGGCCGCCGCACGTACCATGTGGACATCACAACCTGATGACGCCTGTGGATTAAGTTATTAAACATACATTAGATATACTTTTATAATTATATATGTAAAAGTTTTTGAGGATATATGGATGTCTGTTGATGCTTTAAGCAAATCGGATTTCTATAAAACTTTTAGGTAACAACTTAGACATCGGAACAGCATGAAGTTTAAGATGTTTTCAAAAATTCTGTATAGTTGTCTAAGGAGGTTGTATTTTGTACAAGATGAACCTATCAATTATTTATTTTATTTTAGTGTACATTATTAATATCTCTATGAATTTAATTTCAAAGTACACGTACATGAAGTCACGGTCATACACTAGTTAACAATAAGTGATGTTTGATCAACATTAACCTTGTCTGCTATCCCGGCCGCTTCTGGAGGTGTTAGATGTCCTTCCCAAGCGTCAATGAGGAACAAAATTGCGGGCGCTCCTATATCCATTGCCTGACCTGTTCAAACCAATAGAAAATTAACTCATTATTCTTACTATTCTAAAAAGTTACACTAAACTACTAGCTATTTGTATATAGCTTAAACATCTTACCGGTTATCCAACTGACGTGTGACGAATATGTGCGACTCAACCAGTTAGCACTGACGCAGTTGTGCAAACCCAGCGCATAAAGACCGAGTTGAAATGCAGCCATATGTAGACCTCTGAAATAACACAAAATATAAATGAAAACAGATAAATATATGTGATAAAAAATAGCATGCAAAATATAGGACCGTAAATTGCTGTTTATGGTGTTAGGATTTTTTGTGAGTTTGTTATTTGAGAAGATTTAAGTATAGTTAAAAATATTAAAGATTCTGACAACTAACCTGTGTGGTCCGTGGTGCTCCCTAGCACATGAGGTTTGTGTGAATAAACTAGTACTCGACGAACCGCCGGCTTTAAATAGTACCGACTTGGCCAACTCAAACATAAAGTGAGCTGACGCTTCTGAAGGCTGATTTGGTACTGATGGGTATACACGCTTACCTTTGTACCTGCACGGGAATATATCAATTATTTTGTACCGTTTTTATTAGATACCTTTTTTATAAAATAATTCGTATACAATATAACAGACATGTTTATTTTCTGTGAAATATATTTATCACATAGTAATCTAAGTTATTAGTTATACCTCGAGTCCTTCAACCTTGGCAGCGACTGATGCGGCGGCGCGTGTGACTGATGCTGTGAGTGTTGTGAGTGAGGAGTGTGAGAGGGATGAGGGTGCGGCGTGTGGGAGGGATGAGGGTGAGGAGTATGTGGAGGGTGTTGATTGTGTTGAGGGTGTGTGTGCATGGTATGGGACATGGCGGGAGGCGACGGACCACCCTCTGATACAGCCAGGCGATCCATATCACCCACTAACTGGCATGCTGACGCCTGTAACGATAGAAATAATTAATTTTCTATACACTTTAAGAGATACTTATATAGTATTATTTAGTCGAATGAAACTGCTCGCAGTACTATCAAACAACTTATTCTTTTGTAGTATATTCTACCTACAAACTAATACGTCTGACAAATTGTGCTTGCATATATTATTTTGAACCTTTTTTTTTCTACGCACTGGGTGAAAATGTCGTACGCATCCCCTTTCCGTCGAGGGACGAGAGGGGTACGTGGGACTCCCCAGGAAAAAGGATCCCGGTATACCCACTAAAATATATTTTGAACCTATGACAACACTAATCTAAATCACGTCGTTCAAAAAATTCACCGCACGTCATTATATCGCCTTACAAGTTAAAAATATAGTATTCTATTATCATATAAGCACGTACCTGTGGCATGACCGGTGCGGTGTGTTGCATATGCGTGGCATGTGCGTGGTAGGACGAGTCGCGGTACGCCAAACGGGGGTTATTAGTGTAGTACATGCTGACCATCGGGCCCTTCGTTAATTGATGGATATCACGATCCAACAGCTAGAACAAAATATAGACGATATTTATTTGTATGGCTTTAATTAATTATAAAATACAATTGCAAATTATTAGAAATTACAATTACAATATCCTAAAAATATAAGCTGTGTTCATAAAGTTAGTTAGTATAGTTTTATTAGAAATAGTTATTCATTCACCTTATTCATGATCCGTGCCAATTTAACCGGGTCGTCTTTATAGAATGACAGTAGTGTTAATGCTAACTCTCCCCGTTGCCTCCTCGTTCCCTCACACAATAGAGGGTGTTCAGCTTCTGACACGTTTGCCTTTAAACCCAAAGCTGCGACCGCCGCTTCGAATCCTAACATTTCATCCGTTGGCAACCTCGCCTGAGAAATATAATTCTTATTTAAATAGAATAAAGAGTTTTAATTATATTGCCATCCAAAATATACTTACAGGGTGTTTGTTTTCTTTGTCCGTAGCCGATAAAACTAGTACGTCGAACAGGAAACTCGCTAAAGCTATTGGCAGCAATGCCGGTCCACGGTTTCTGTAATAATTGAGTAATTAAAGAAAATGTATTAAATTTCCATTTCATTGTGTAAATATTCTAACCTCAGAACTCCTTCGCGTAGTTGTTCAGCTTTTTCTCTCGCCAACATAAGTTGTTCGATTCCGGTGGGTAGTTTTTTTAACAAAGCAACCAATTCCGTTTCCTGGTTATTGAGTTTTACTTCCAAAGCCTTCGTGCTAGCGGGCGGTCTTGCCATCTCCAAAGCATACAATCCAACGCGGAAAGCTAATTCATGATGTTCGTTAAATTCAGCTAGTACCTATGAAACAAAATAAACTCCAATCAATTTATGTATATATGTAAGACGAAATCAACGAAACAAGATAAAATTGTAAACCAAAAGTAATTACTGTTCTCAATAAAATCGTAACAATATGGGATGAAACTAGAAGTACATATCCTACTAATATTATAATTGCGAAAGTTTGTGAGTGTGTGTGTATGTTTGTTACTTCTTCACGCTCAAACGGCTGAACCGATTTTAATAAAATTTTGTATACAGGAAGCTGGCGTCCAGGAATAACACATAGGCTACTTTACATCCCGGAAATCCGCGGGTAACACCGCGAGGCGGATCTATTATATACATATATCTACTCACAGTACATAGAAAGGCGCATTTAGCGAGTGTAGCGGACGCTAGACATGAGAGCCGATGGCTGGCGGCGCACAGGCGGGGCGAGGGGGCGTGGCGGCGACGAGCACGACGAGCCTCCGCCGCCGCGCTCAGGAGGGAACCAACACCGGCACCTCCTGGGGATAGGAAGGAATTGATTATATATATATAAAAGAAAGACGTGCTAGTTACACTATTTATAACTTAAGAACCTCTGTACGGCTGAAAATTTGTGGAGAGATAGCTTAGAACATAAATAAGGACAGAATACTTTTCATGCAATTGAAAAAATATATATAGTTCACCCGGACAGCTATACATTTCAAATTTTAAAACTAACGCAGAAGAAGCATTAATAAAACTAGTAATTTTTATAGATCTCTTTTCGTTACCGAGTGAATTGTCATTTTAGATTTTATATCATAAGCTTATATATAATAGTCAAAGATGGTAATACCTAAACAGCACAAAATGAAAATTTGATTAGTGAAAAAGTATAATTATTATCAAACAAACTAAATATCTCACTTCAAAATAGTAAATTATTAATTCGATAGTATAGTTTTTCATACCCTGTCTTTTATTTTAGTAAGTTCATACCTAGTGCGGGCGGGCTGGCCAGTAGTTCAGCGGCCAGTCGAGCCCCCAGTGCGCACGCGTCTCGTGCGTGCCCGTGTGCGTGTAGACCTTCCGCGCGTGCGAACGATACCTCCCACCCGCAACCCCACCCTACTACTGAAGAGCGACCGTTGTATCCACTAACACCCGCACCCTACATATATAAGACAAATGTATATAAGTGTATTAATGAACCAATGACATTCATGAGAATAGTCGAAATATGACAGCAAAATTAATGTTAGTAGTATTTCAAGAGTCACTATAAAAACAATAGTAATAAAGGTTTATATGTGATACAAGTTATATGAGTAGAGCCTAGCTGTGGTAAGCTCTAATGGTCTGGCTCGACCGGGGAAGTACCACCCTCTCAACGGCGTGAAGTAGCCTTTAATGGCTGCGTTTCGTCCGATGAGTGAGGTAGCCGGTTGCCCTTTCCTACCATTTTCTTATTCCCACAATATATCCCTAAAAAAACAAGGTTGGCAACGCATCCGCAACCAAGATGTTGCAGATGTCCATGGGCGACGGCAACTACCTTCCATCAAGTGGGCCGTCTGCTCGTTTGCCACCTTTATCATAACAAAAACATATACAATATTTTCCCATACCGAATGTACTACAGAGTTGTTGGAACTACTCTCTACGGCGACTCTCCTAGCCGCAGCCGCGTCGTAGTAGTACAGGTTGCATTCATCGTCGGAGACTGAATCATCAGGAGAGACTCTTCTCACAGCGTCATCAGAGGATCCGCCCGCTGAGGTTGACTCCTGTGAATCTGTATCACCACCGCTCTGCTGGAGAATCTCTTCCTCGTTCTCGCAAAAACCTTGGATATAAAAAATATTAATTAATTAAAATTATCAACAGTTGTCCATACTTCATATAAATATTATAGAAGTTGCGTGCAAATCAAGTGTTTTAAAAAAAATAATAAAATATAAAATATTTGAAGTAAATGAAACTAATATTTAATAAAAAACTATGATATTGATAATTTCTGATGTTCTGCCTCATCATCTCGTCTGCCCGTGATCACGGTTGCTGTAAAGTAGCCGAAACCGCGGGAGTATGTAGTTTATAGTCAAAAATAAAAAATCGCATAGTAAATCCGAGAATATTAGTTTCATTTAAATTAGTCGCGAAAATCTTAGATCTCATTATGTTTGAAGTAAATGATTTTGAAGTAGCAATATTTAAAAGCAAACATTTTAGTGTGTGATATACCTTCGGATGAAACACTTGAATGATTCCCATCGTTAGGGCCAGAGTCGCGTGCGACATCACTGCGACCCTCGCCGGACCCGCAAGGCTATTTAAAAATGCAAAACATATTTAATAAAAAATCTTTCCCAACACATATTTACCAATAAATGTACTTAATATTACCTGACTCGATGGTCCAGGTATGGCCATATCAACTGTTATTCTACTGGTTCTATGAACAACTGTTCTATGTCCGTGTAATGAAGGATCAGGATTTGTTAGACGATAACTGAGTGACATTTCATTATTAAGTACAGCCTTTGACGAATTCACCTGAAAACATTCATAATCATATACAAGTCTTCTAATAAAACAAATGTATTTCGTATAGTAACAACACATACCTGATGAACACTGTCTTTGTCGGTATGTCTGAAGATTGTGAATGGGCTGTGATATAGAGGATTCAGATCTTTGGTGTATGTCACACCTTGGATTTGATAGTCATCCCATTCAAGGAAGCACGCCTCCATGGCTGGATGGAATCCTGGGAATACTTCATTCTCACTGATACCATTGATGTACGGTGAGTGATGTGCTCGATGGCGAGGGTGAGAAGTGTTTATGTGATTATTACGGTTTTTGGCCACCTGTTGTTAAAGTTATTTTACATTATTGTCCGTTAAAATAACATTAAAACTATAATTATAGAGAAATATGAAACATTACCTTATCAAGCACTTTCATATGCCATTGAGCGAATTGTTCATGAAGTGTATCTCTCTCGTGGGGTGCCAACCCTGGATTGAGAGCCGCCAAACGCCACAACACGACGACCTTAAGTATAGAATTTAATTATAACTAATGTTAAACATAAACACTTACATTATATTACATTTTTAGCAATAAACTATCATGAGTCTAGACATAGTTGACGTCCAAAGACGAGACGTCGCCGGTTATATGACAAACTTTAATTTAGTACACACTAAAGACGAAATGAAATAAAATGAAATAAAAAAATAAACAATTAAAAAAGATCAAGATATATTAAAAATGTCAAGGCAGAAAGACATTGCGATTATGAATTACTAGCAACTTATTTACATGATAGAAATCTTATATATAAATTTAACAGGAGTTTATCGTCAAACTAAATTCAGAAAGTTTTACTTGTTTCCCATTCATATTATGTTATACTATTACGACTATGTTTGATAAAACTGGAAACAATCAGTGTTTGATTCAGCAATATAAAATCGTAATAAGTTAACTGGAACTTATTAACTTTCCTCATACATTCAAATTGACGTAAATATCGATCGAAAGTTTTTGTCGTAAAAAATACATAATATATTCATAACTTAATAACATCTCATTTATAATATTACTAGAATTTTGAGAAATGCATATATGTAATTGTTACAACTTATTACATTTTTGCATCTAAACAAATTTTAAAGTATGTATTATATACAAGTATGAGTTTGTAATTGGAAGCGAATAATTCCTTCAGAATTTTACGATCTTAATAAATAGCATACTACCTTTATATGTGTTCCATAAACTAGTATGTTATCCACGACTACTCATAATATTCTTAGTATTAGTGCATAGTTTTTATCAGCATTATTACTGTAGTGATAATTTCAATTGACTTCTATCTTAAAACAAATCTTTTCTAGAGACAAACATTCCATATAAAAGACATAGTGTTCTACCGTTTGCAATAATATTACCATAGAAGTGAAAAAGAAATTGCTTTGAACGCCTATTGGAGGCACTGAAAACCACAATAGAAAAATATTATTATATGTATATAAATATAGGAAATCTTGTGTCTATATGCAATTGCATTTATTGAGTCGCTAAAATATACTATTTAAAAAATCATTTATAAAACTTATTATATGACGGAACACTCTGAGTATGCAATCACAAGCTACCAAAGGTTCAGAAATCAGAATATAGTTCTGGTAAAAAAAATGCCGTGAAAAGAACAACAGATGCACTTTATAATATAAATTATATAGTGTCTTTATACACAATCCAATTTTATATATGTACTGTGTGGATAAATATAATTAAATTTAACTCTACATAATATGTAATACAAATTCGTTTAGTGCTTATTTTTTATCTTTTCGTTGCCTAACACTACAATTGTAGCTTTTAGAAATTGTATTTTTACTTTTTAGTATATTAAATTATACTCAGCTTCAGTAACAATTTTCTCAACTTCTGACGCCCAAAACCTAGTTCAAATATAAAAAAGCAGTAGCTTTTCATAACATAACATCGATTAACCTATTACGAATGAAATAAATAGTAACATTATACATACATATTATGTAATATGGAGTAAACATAAGAATCGAACTATTTTTAAACTCTACATTGGGAGCCTTTCAAAGATTTCTTTGATAATTTTTGCACATTATAATATTCATGTACTTTATTGAACACACAACGGGAAAGCATCGTATGTAGTAACGATGAAAATTGCGCAACAAAATACTGCTTCGTCAAAATTGGTTTTGTAGCGATTGAACTTAAACATTTACTTTAAATTCTTAACAGAAAACATAAAAATAATTAAAAAAAACTATTACTTGAAAATATTTAAGATAGGTCTGATTTTTAAATATTTTTTTGTTACAGTCGCAATGAATAAATGAATCTGTATTACCTAACGTTACAATCTTGTGGTCAGCTTAAAAATAAAAATGGTTACTAAATGTAGAAACTATTGAGATACGACGACTCTTCATATAGTAAATAGATTTCAATTTAATAAAAATTATTTCAAACAAACGAATATTTCTTTTTTGCTATAAAAATTTATTAGTCTTGTTTTAACGACAATATTCGTCTATAAGCTTTACGGTTCCAAAAATGTTTTAACCATACTAGCTGATTTTTCAAATAATTTCGATAAATATTTGATGAATCATAAGTAGTATTTCTTGTGTATGATTATAATTAATATAAAACTATGTGTTGTAATTATACTTCTCTTTGGATGTGTTGATATCACGCATATTTTATTAGTGAACTAATGAAAACATGAATTGATTGTAGATGATTTTTCGTAAATAAATTTACATTCATCTTAGTATATGAATGAAACCGAACAAAATTATATTTTTTGCATGCATATCCGATACAGTTCCCGTGTTACGTAGCGGTCAAAGGAAACTTTCTGCTTGGAGACTATTTTATGTTATGACCTCAAATTTATGCTAGAAATACGAGACGCTGTATACAGTATAAGTTTGACAACACAAACACGTGGTCATATTATGTTCATATACTTAGTATAATATTCATATATATTAGGCTTAGTCTTTTAGTTTATTTTCTATGACAATATTAGTTAACTAGTAATTATTTAAAACAATGATACTACTTCAATACAAATGTATGTGTAATGTTTAGTGCACTTTTTATTTAAGTTAGTTTTAGATTACCTTAATGTCGATTTCATTACAAGAAGTTTAAGTGTTTACATACATACACTATACTTGTATTCATTTTACGGTAGGATATATAATATCGCTTTTTTGGTATCTTATTTCATATTTGGTATTTAGTTAAATTTTAACGCATTAAAGTTAGCCGAAAGATAATTTGCTGTATGAACTTAATATCTTCAGGATAACAATCACATATGTAAAAATAGATAAACATTTACCAGAGTTATACAAATACAAAATAATGAAACAGTTGTTTAGATTTGTACCAAATTATTCGAAAAATTATAAAATGTATACAAAATAATTACAAGCTAATTGCTCATTATCTATACTTATATTATAAAGCTGAAGAGTTTGTTTGTTTGTTTGTTTGTTTGAAAGCGCTAATCTCCGAAACTACTGGTTCGAATTGAATAATTCTTTTTGTGTTGGATAGTCCAGTTATCGAGGAAGGCTGTGGGCTATATAACATCACGCTACGACCAATAGGAGCAAAGATATAGTGGTAAATGTGTAAAAAACGGGAGAAATTATTTCATCTTTGAAGCCTTCCGTTGCGTGCGCCGTGAAAACGGTTCAAGATACACAAAAAATATGTATGAAAGAATAATAGCTCTTTTAATGATCTAAAAAAACAGTCCGCGACAGTATATGTCTATCTTTTAAGATTAACTCACAAAAACCGTTTTTATGATACCTAATTTTGTCGAAATAATTTGTTTAAGTTGTATCAACATAATAATATTAATCTTTATTCAACTAAACAAATAAATATGTTGTTGGTTAAGAGTACTTCATTATTAATAAAAAAAAACATAGATTTTATCCTGAAAATTCTACGGGAACTCGACCATTCCGAAAACCCCTTCAAGAACGGGAACTATGTGGGAAGAACCAAAAATCTGTCGGAAGTCACTATTCCACGCGGACGAAGCCGCGGCAAAAGCTAGTCTTCTATATATATAAAAATGGATCGCTGTTCCTTAGTCTCGCTAAAACTCGAGAACAGCTGAACGGATTTATCTTATCTTAGTCTTGAAATGTTCGTGGAGGTTTTGGGAAGGTATAAAAGCTGAAAAAAATTGATTCATTACTGGGAAAACGCTAAAAACAGCCCTTTTCTATTTCCCATACAAACGTTTTTTTTGACATTAGATTTGACAACTAACTAACATGTCAATCATTCTGTCGCACTTTAAAACACGGAGATTTATGGCTTACAGGTAAACTCAAAAAATATGAATAAAAAACGTAATAGATATTTCTTGATTATAGGGCGATACGAATTTCGTCACGTCTTCTAGTTATTAATATATTTTCAGCATTAACTATAAGTAATAACTACATTTAAAAGAAACTCTAAAACCATAGTGAGAGCAACAAATAAAAATAAACCAAAAACTATGGTAAGTATGGTATTAATTTCCGAAATTACTATGAACTAACTTAATGACAAATGTCTGTTCTATGAATATTAATCAAGGCTACATAGCTATCATTTCTATACTAACCTCATCACATAGCGATGAACACGCGTGTTGTGCCGCAGAGTTACCAGCGGCGCCGTGCTTACCACCACCTCCCCACGCCACCAACGACGCCTTAGTGCTGTACCACCATACTATTATCTACAGACAATCATCATATTACAAACTCTTTTATTACAGAAAAAAAAAGTAACTGTTACAACTGGCCGTTATAGAAACTCTCAATTACAGAAAAAAAAAAGTTAAATAACTTTTATTACAAAAAAAAAAAAAAATGTCACCAAGGAGGTCTTACCTGTTCGCAGGCCATAACCTCCTCGGTTATGATTTCGAGTAACGGTATCGCGTTTCTGTCGCTCCTTTTGAACATCTCTCTCACTATAGAGAGTAAGTTCCACATTCCCTCTGGTTCTCTTCCTCTCAATGGACGCAACAATGACGACCATTCTGATGCCGCTGGGGGCGCGCTTGTACTCAAATAGTTAACATCACTGTAAATAACATTTAAATTACTAACATAGATCTTTTTTGCTTAAATAGTATTTTTTTTAAATTCCACAAACCTAAAAACTATAGGTGCAGGCACACAGAATTTGACTAAAATCTTTTTGATGTTATTATGCAAAGTCTTTTCATCGAGGAACCATGATGTGTATTCGTAGGCCGAAGCCCCCGCTGTGGGGTCCGGAGCGCCACAGGTCGTGTTTATCTGGTTAGGCTGAGCTGACAGTAGTTCATCCAGAATTCTTTGAGCTGTCGGTAGAACTTGACGAGGTAACTCTGATATAAGGTATTGTGCAAACTTCTGCAACTGATCTCTTCTCAATCTTTGCAATGATTCTGATACTGGTGCTCTGAGACATACTTGTGTTGGCTGAAAATATATCACAATTTTAACATTTACTTAATACAAATTTATATCTCTTGATAATGCAGTACAGCACATTAAATGGTTTAATGCCTGTTTAATACATATAATAATAAATTAACTTACAAGATGTATCCTGTATAAGCATACAGCAACTATATGTGAACACCAATGAGCTGAGGATGAACAGGTACAGTTGCATGAAGATATCTTTTGTCTATCAAATGTCACTGCTACATTGAATTGTGCTCTTGTCATACTAGGTGTAACAGTGGCAGAGAGATGAAAACCTATGAACATAGAAAATATGTTAGCAATGAAATAAGACTATATATATTATAGATACAAAACTTTTGATACAAACCCTCTTTTGAGAATAGTTTCCCAAAAGAGGGTTGATGTCAGGGAGGTGGCCGGTCGTAAAAATAAAGAGCCAAATCTATTTACAACATGTAAGGCAGACTCCGGCACACCCAAGGCAGACCCAGACCCAGCTACAGCAAGGAAATTGCCAGGAAGAAGAAGATATTATTGATACAAAACTAGTAATTTACCAATTTGTAGGACATCTTTAACAGCTCTGTCTCTATATAAGTGTTCTCCTCTTTGAAATTCATCAGCCGAGCCATTTGCCAGGCAGGAATATAGTCGGATGTCATCCTCACTATCCGGAAAGCTCCAGAATGCTATCTGAAGCTGCAGTTGTTCAGGCACAGGCGGATAAACATGTTCCACAAGTTCAAATGGTATGTGACTGGCGACACATTTGGCTGCCAGTTCACTTAATGATGACACCAATTTCTCTGAAAATAGTATATAAATTTTAAATTATATACTATAAATTAGGCTCTCAATATGTAGTTCAAATATATTATAAATGCTGTAAATAGTAAAAATATAACATTTATATAAAATATTTAAAAATACTGTAAATAATTGACTATAAATTAAATGTATGTATTTTACAATTTAATACCTATAGAGTGTATTAATTCCATTGTATATGGTCAAGACATTATTCTTTGTTACAAACAAAAATCATCTATATTACTAAGGAACAAAGTTGAAATTATTTTACACCATAACACATATCAGGATGAGTCACATGATATTGATAAAAAAATATATATTTTTTGGGTTTATTGACAGTCCATAACAAAAATTGTTTCAGACAGATCCTTAAATAAGGAGATATTTAATCTTATTTATTTATGTTTTTGAATATAAGAAGCTTTCAAATATATGATGATAAAATAAAAACTTTTTTTAATCACATAAGTATAATTCAATGCAAAAATACACTAGCATTATATTAATAGTCAAAAACAATATAACAAAAAGGCAGCATAACAGTGAAAGTTAGTGAAAGTCATCATTAGCTATATTCATCAAATATAAAAATAATAAAATATATAAAATTTAAAAAACATGTATAAGTATTATCATTCAACAAAGAATTCACTGCATCCCATGGCTGAGATTTGAAACTGAGTATTATTATTAACTGCTCTGTCCAGTCAAAAGGTAAATGACTTCACAACACCTGTCTTTCTGCTTACATACACAATGAATTTAGAACATATAAAATGAAAGTATTTATAAAAGTCAATATTTCGTTAACATTTACATATTTTATTTCATGTTTATATGGTATTTTGTATTTATAAGCATTATTTTGAGTTTTCATGATTTCGAAACAAAGGATCAGATGTATTGATGTGTTACCTTGAATGGATTTTTTCGTTGAACGTGGTCCGAAAGCATTTTGAAGGTTGGGTCTTCTCCATCCCCGCCAATTGTTACACAGACTTTCGGGTTCCGAAGTCCAGCTACACAAGGAATCTTCTTCGAAGCGCTCTGAATCTTCGAAACTGAAACGATCCCCTTCCTCCCAATCGAGTAAAGGAGACCCAACGTCGACTGGGGCTGCTGGTCGTCCCCCTTTTCCATTATTATTTGATGCCCCCGCCACTTTATCGTTATTTATTTCAATAAGGGAAAAATAAATTCGCTGGATGACTTCAGCGAATTATTACTGGGGGGTAATCACAATGTTAAATAGCATACTCCTTTACACCAAAAAGATTTTAAAGTAATGGGAAAAAAGATTTAAAACAATATGTGTAGAATTCAAATACATCACAAACTTAAAAGATTGAAGCACTTCCTAGTCAGAAATCAAGTGATCCAAATAAATTCTTTAGGGGGCACAATAACAAATATGGCCGTCCAACGTCCCGTCGCGGTCATAGATCATATTTTGAAATTCACAGAAGGTACACACTGTTTATCCGTATTTTTAAACTGTCTGTATGGTAGTCCACAGAGTACTTTATTTACTATCACGATAAGATAGGATTACAGTTGTGACTTATTAAAAATGAAATAGTTGAAAATTATTTGTTATCAGTATCTTTGGAAAACGTAAATTCTAAATTGTGTATAAAATTTAATATTTGTTACGATATTGGGATCAGCGAATACCAAAACATAAAGCTAAGTAAAGAAATTGCGAGCTATAGAATTAAATTATTATACCTTTTTAGAACGGATTTAATAAGACTAGTTGTTGAGCAATAATTTTTTGTTAACATTATTAATTCTTAAAAGTGCTGTTGCAATTTTGTAGTACAATATTGAAATTAAGTTAGTTAAAAATTTTTGACTTGACTTTGACAGGAACGACATTGTTGACGGTATTTCAAATCGAGATATTTTTATCGAATTTTGTGTTTGTTCGATTATTTGTTTATGTATTTAAATCAAATGTGAATTTATGTTGTTAAATGACAGCAATAAATAACTATTGTAATAAAAAATTGTTTCATATTATTAAAAACATCCAAATTGAATTAAGATAATATATTTAAGTGGAACATAGTGAATCGAATGGGTATCAATTCAGGAAAATCGAGTCGAAGCAATTGTTCGAATAGTTCGTCGCTAATTGTAAATTGACAATTGACAAATTGTTTATTTGACATTAAGTATATACTGTGGTTGAAAACGAAGATTGTTCTCGATTAAACTTAAATTATTACAATATATTTTTAACCATGCCCAGGAAAAATCAATAGTTTAATGGAGCTATTTCAAGGAAAAAAAATAACAACAAAAACAAATCCTCATTTTTACTGGTTAATTTAATAAGCCGGAGTTATTATAAATACACACACGTTTTGTGATTTGTATTAAAAAAATATTTATATAAAATGTTTTGCTGGGGCAATGCAACTCATCACGAACTCTGTATTGAATGTCCCGGCAACCTTGACCTGGTGAGTATATTGAGGAGTTAATTTTTTTCTACAAAATTGATTTATCATTGCATCATTAATATTTCTTTTGTTCTTCTATATTCTATCATCATTTTATACATTTGTAAAGTAAGTAGTGTTTTAGCTAATTTATAACAAATGATATGGGTAATTTTTAACAGTTATTTAAATTAATCTGTTAATTTTAAGGTAATAAAGCCAACATTATCAAAATGGAAGGAGAGTAACCATATTCAACAAATCTCAGCTGGAGAGTTCCATACATTGTATTTATCAAATAATGGTCATCTGTACACATGTGGCAGTAATGAAGTTGGCCAACTCGGCCGACAGACTAATTCCGCTGATGGAACATCTCCAGGTATATAAAGAAAATTGTTACATATAAGTTACACATGTTAATACTATAACTAGGACAAAACATATATAACTATTGTTCTTTATTTCAGTTTTAGTAGATACATTTAAAGGATGCACATTATCAACTATAGCTTGTGGCTTACAACATTCAATGGCACTTGATGAATGGGGGCAACCATTTAGTTGGGGTTCGGACAGTATGGGACAATTGGGTAGCAACTTAGGTTCACACGCCCAAGATAAACCCAAAATTATAAAAACCCTGGCTACAAAAAATGTGATTCAAGTTGCTTGCGGATCCTACCACACAGTAGTTTTAACAAATAGTAAGTTGCTTAATACGAACTTTTATTATAAAACTGATATCTATATATACAGGGTGACTGGTGAATTACTATCGATATTTGAGGACGTGATATATGACGATCATATATGACAAAATAAAAATTAATATAACATAAATATTAATAAACTTCTAAGTAAAGTTAACCAAAAGCTATGTAATTAATTACGCATTGTATGAACACCCTACAGATTAGGTATACACACACACACACACACAGACGCGGCGGCGGCGTAGTGTTGTATCAGCACGCCGCCGCACGCGCCCACACTTGGAACGTGTACACACTTTATTTATTTTTACGGAAATTTGGTCAAAAATTAAGTACCTATTTTTTTTACATAATTCGAATGAGAATCATGTACCGAGTATGCTCCTTAAATATTGATAGTAATTCACCAGTCACCCTGTATAATAGAAGACCCGGCGAACTTCGTGTCTCCTTATAATCAAGAAATAACTGTTACGTTTTTTTTTTTTTATATTTTTGGAGTTAACCTATTAAAGCCATAAATCTCCATGTTTTGAAGTGTAACAGAATGATTGACACATTAGTTAGTTGTCAAATCTAATGACTAAAAAAACGTTTGTATCAACAACTACTAATAAATTAAAAATTAACTAAAAAAAACATTGTCCAGCGACAAAATTGTGAATCTAAACAATTCCCAGATACCCTTGAACACACACAAAAAATTTCATCAAGTTCAGTGACATACACACTCACAGGAGAATTATATACATAAAGATACTTGTTAATCAAATAAATTAACAGTATAAGAAACATGATCACGGGCATCTAGTCTTCTCTTGATGCTGTATGTCTGGTTGCTGTAAAGTAACCGAATCTGGGAGTATGTAGTTTATAATCAAAAATAAACATCGCATAGTAAATCTGAAAATATTAGTTTCATTTAAATGAATACTCAAAAATCTTAGATCTCATTAGTATAAGGAACATTTATATAAATTTAAATGTATTATAGATGGAGATCTTTATGCATGGGGAGCTAACAGTTATGGTCAATGTGGTCTGGGAAACAGATCAAACAAGGAAACCACACCACAGGCTTTATCATCTATACTTGGAATACCAATAGCACTGATTGCTTGCGGCAGTAACCACACTTTTGCCTTATCACAGTGAGTATTTATAAAAAGACTGCTCTCATGAAGTATTTTTAATAAAAAAAGGCATAATAAAGACTTGTAAGTCATTGAAGATTAAAGTAATAATAATATAATAGTCATTAGGTGTAATGAATGTTATATAGTTTAATGTAGACTAGTAAATTCCATTGGATATTGTTGTATTATGATTTTCTTTAGTTTTAAGGGATATGCATTAAAAAAAAGTCTTTGTAGTCTTAAATCTTAAATCTTATGTTTTAAGTATACATTTAACCATGAATTTATTTTGGTTACATGTCATTCTTTAAATTTTTTCTTAAAGATATTTTTAATGAATAAAATTTTAACCAGAATGGCTTTTAATATAATACTAACTTCAAGGTCCGGTGCTGTTTTTGGATGGGGAAAAAATAGTCATGGACAACTTGGCTTGCAAGATAGAGAAAGTAGGTGCTATCCAACACATTTGAAGACATTAAGGAATGTTAAGGTAATATTATCAAAGGCTTTATTAAATTTAAAGAATGGATATTTTTATTGATATAAATCAACTTCTTATAATTAGTCTTTGTAAAGCTTTTCTTTACATACAAAATGTTCAAAATATATGACTTAATACGTTATTATTTACGTAATAAATAAAATGATTTTCTTGAAAACATTTTCAGAAAAACCATGAATAGTTGAATAGAATTATGGTGGGACATTTTACAAAATTATTGAATTTCGTTGTTTTCTACATCAACATTAAAAGAAATAGTTCATTGTTATTCTGTACTACTACAAGCCCTAAACAGTTTTTACCAAACAAAGTTCACCTTGACCTTCAAATCTACGTCATCATGATTACTATCACAACATCGTTATCGTTACTTTATTATAACAGTATTGTATTATAGAGAGTGGGTGCGGTTGTATTATTATTGTAATAGTAATTTTTTTTTGTCCATGAAAACAAATTAAATTATTACTACCTCTTAATTAAGGCGAGGTTACCACAGAATAAATCATGCACTATAAAGTGCATAGACATGTACAAAACCAATTTGGAAGAAGCTATTCAGACTCAAAATTAAATATATGAGTTTCATTTGGAAATAGTTTCTTTTGTCATAAATGGTCAATTTTAATGTGACATTTTTCGTCTATAGGTTTGTCATATATCATGCGGCGAAGATTTCACGGCGTTCTTGACTTTAGACGGAGGTGTTTTTACTTGTGGTGCCGGCGAGTACGGTCAGACGGGGCATGGTAATACTAAGGACGAACTGGTACCGCGGAAGGTTAGCAGAATATACAATCCTACTAATATTATAATTGTGAAAGTTTGTGAGTGTGTGTATGTTTGTTACTACTTCACGCTCAAACGGCTGAACCGATTTTGATAAAATTTTGTTTACAGGAAGCTAACGTCCTGGAATAACACATAGGTTACTATACATCCCGGAAATTCCGAAAATCCCGGAAATCCGTGGGTAACGCCGCGGGGCGCAGCTAGTTATTAATAATGCTAAAGAGATCTAGGACTTTCATGAGTATTCATTTTATATTAATAAAGCTTACATTAATATTGTTTCCTTCATTAGGCATTTTAGAAAATCTTTTTCTATAGTACTGTTTTAACTTATAAATTATTTAAACTATATATTTTTTAAATATAGACAATTTAGCTATCCCAATAGAAAATAACTCCTCATAGCTGAAATTTTGAAATGAAGTCTTGTTCAAAACACCATTAGAAATAAAATTTAAAAAGTCCTCATAAATTGGATACTTTGAAAAAATATAACTCTGGCTCAAACTTCAGTTAAAGAGGTATATCGCGTTTTTCAGCCAAAAGGTTTGTCATATAATAATTTGCCGAGACAAAAATTGTAGACAAGGTATTTGTTCTTTACAAATTATCCAGGATACTTTTTCCATGAGTGTCCACATTTCTCAGATACAGAGAATCACAATGTTTCGAACGCGCTTTTTATTGTCACAATATAAACATGTTTCCCAGCCACCTTTGCGGTAATGTGTTAAAAACTGTCCTCTAATATTTTTTTACTTCACGAGTCTGTTGTGATCCTTTTTAATTTCAAACTAATGAATAATGGGCATTATCTAAACATTTAAGTAATTTCTAATATGTTAAAGCGTTAGATCTTATGACAATAGGTTTGGCTGAACGAGATGAATAACAAGACTCATGCAGTACTTTATTAAGTAAAAAAAAAACCAATTTTAACATTCCAAATTCTAATTCAGGTGATGGAGCTCATGGGTAGCACAGTCACTCAGGTCGCGTGCGGCCGTCGACACATGTTATGCCGTGTGGGAGAGCGTATCTTAGCGTGTGGTTACGGAGCTAGGGGTCAACTGGGATGTCCGCACATGGCCTTCGCCCTCGTCCCAACACCAGTGACCTTCACGCCAAACGACGAGTCCCCAGTCAGTTTGTTTTGTTTTCCTATGTAGAACATAACAGAAAGGTCTAGAAAGTTCTATTAAGTCATAGAAAGTATGATCTAGTCATATAGAACACCGCTATCACAGTTCAGTAGAAAGAATTGCGTATTTCATACTAAATAAAATAATAATAATCATAAAACCATATCCATTACCTTGAATTAATACTCTTACATAAAATATTGTGTTAATAAATTGATATAAGTTCAATTGTGATTTAAAATATTGAAGAGTTGCTAAGTAGTTATTTTGTATGTATATTATTTGCTATTGCTTATTATAATGAGGTATGTTATCTTTACACAGACTGAACCCTGTGGGAAGGATCAGGTGAATAAGAAATATGTATTAAAATATGTTACATTACTTGTAGTAATTGTAGCAAGTAGTAATTAGTATTAGTTATTTATTTATGAAATTTCACCTATACATAGATGAAAAATAGATGTATATTTTCTTATTACCGACTATCATTACTTTCTTTTATTTTCTCATATTACATATTCAAACCAAAGTAATATTGGTAAACTTGATTTTTACTTACTAAAAGTATTCTTCTTAGCCAAGGAAGAAATCCAAGACGGAGAGTTCTGTGGTATTGCATAAGTCTGGTGCCGGCACCTCCAAACTTAATGTTGAGTTATGACTATGCTATTATATTATTCTATATATTTATATATACAGTTGTTTAGTATATAGAACTTAAAGTACAAAAATTTATACTTCTTATATCAGTTAGCTTACTTACTTAGATATCATATATATCTTCTATCTTGTAACACAGAACAAAGATTTAATATATGTATTTCTTTTTAGTTTTTCACTAGTATAGTTAGATTTTCATATGTTATAGTAGTATGACTATGTTAAAGTATACATAAAAATGAATTAAAATTTAATATTTTCAGTTCTCACCAGAGATATTCAGTGGTCCAGTGAAGGTGTTTGCCGGTGGTGATCACAGCTTCCTTATTCTGAACAGTGAGAAGTCTCCGGCAGACTGTCGAGTGCCAGATGCCAGTAAACAAATACTGTCACTTAGTAATGCCAAGCTAGTGCCATGTCTGGTGTTCAAGAATAACGATGTTGTTAGTCAGGTAAACTATATAAGAATTACCATAGTAACTTTGATTAATTATAATATTATTATAGAAACTTTTGCCTAGAAAACTAGTGATGAAAGTATGGAGTCGTTTGTTTTATTTATTTTCGTATACTAAAATTTAGAAATATAATTAATAGTATTTGGATGTGTTAATGGTAATGTGTTAATACAGGATCAAATAGATATAAAGAAATATATAAGCCTAATGTATGGCAGAACTTAAACTATGTTAAAGTTTAAGTTTGAAATGTAAGATGATGTTAATTCTATTTAAATGTTATTGAAAAAGTATTTACTGAATCTTAATTTGCCCTTTTTTGTTAGACTTTTTTTTACACATTTAGTACTAGCTATAAAAAGAAATATAATATGTTCTTGTTAATAACACAATTTGAATTTAATAATTATAATCAATACATTTTTATGTACATAACAGGATTTAATGGCTTATCTGGAGACAGTATTCGGTTCATTGGGGTGTATCAATAGTTCTTTTCTGTTACCTCAAAATGGACACTTTGGATGCAACACTAAAGTGCCAGGTGTTGATTTAAAGAAAGCCGAGGAAGCTTTTACATTGATTAGCAGAATTGAGAATTTAACTATACAGGAACTGGTAAGTCATATTTTTTAATATGTGAATAATAATTGTTTTTATATCTATGTATATACATATAAAAGAAAGTTGCGTTAGTTATATTATTAATTATTTAGAACTTAAAAATGACTGTAGGGATATGGTTGAAAATTGGAAGGGAGATAGCTTAGAACCAGGAGATGGAAATAGGATATTTAACTCTGTTGGATCGAAAAAAAACTTAATATATTCCAAAATCTAGTTATATACTGCCTCTTGGGCGGAATAGTGTTCGACCGGTCAGCTATACATATATTACTAATTCCGAAATTAAACTAGTTTGTAATGAAAAGAACCTTAATAATTTGAAGTTTAATTCTTCTGATTCTTGGCTGTCTATAAATATTCACTGAAAAATAGTTTCTATTTTTTATTTAGTACATTATATATTTTCTTTCAACAGATATTCAACAATTTAACGGAGAATATTATAAAGAAAGTGAAGGTGTCCCCACCAGATGCTGAGGCCTTGAGAGTTTTCTTACTATTGCCACTCTATCATGAGATGAGGAATCCTCGCAGACATCCTGAACTACAGGTGAATATGCTTTTAGATATATGTATATCTGTTACACTTTTAACTGAAAAACTATTTGTGGATTTAAATATTAATAGTAATAGAGATAAAGTTTTAAATCTTTACAATGAATAAGTATAGAAATATACATACAAGCTTATTCTTGGTTTAACAATTCAGCTAGTGATTAAAGATGATTTTGTTGTCTTATATCCAGTCATTATTATCTTTATATTCATAACTGTCTATTATTTCATAAAAGGTTAATACTAAATGGTTATTGACATTAATTATTATAGTTATAAATCTAGTACTATTACAAAGGCTTTATTTATCCTTCCGTTGTCTTAATTACTTATATACTATCACTACTTCATTACTACATAATTCATTCTCTGTTTATTCCAGGGTCCATTCGCCGAGGCTTTCAACAATCTATCGACTCACCCTCAGCGTATAGTTCAGTTGTGGTGGGAGGCTCAGTCTACTGATTACTTTGAGATGTTGGTTGATATCTTTAAGAGCGTCATCGTGTACGAACTGATGCAGCCGGTGGTTAGAACAATGAAGGTATATTAATAAATAGCTTTCCGCCCGCAGCTTCGCCCGCGTGGAGTTCGGTTATATCGCGTTTCCAAGAGAACTTTTCAAAAGTCTGGGATAAAAAATATCCTATGTTCTTTCTCAAGGTCAACTCTATCTTTGTACCAAATTTCATTAAAATCAGTTCAGTGGTTTAGGCGCGAAAGCGTAACAGACAGACAGACAGACTTTCGCATTTATAGTATTAGTAGGGATTATATGTGAGACTATACAGGGTGACTGGTGAATTACTATCAATATTTAAGGACGTGGTAGTTGACGATCATATATGACAAAATAAAAATTAATATAACATAAATATTAATAAACTTCTAAGTAAAGTTAAACAAAAGTTATGTAATTAATTACGGATCGCGTGGATACCCTAGCTGCGTTATCGACACAAAACAGTTATGTACGTAGGTATATGTAGTTATCGCGCGGTAGTTTACCTACATCCAAACGCCGCGCGCCGCCGCGTGTTAGACCTTAGATAAACAAAAATGATCCATTTCCCTTCATACTTTAATCCTGGCTTAGGACAAGCAAAAATACCAAGATATTTCTTTCGTTTAAGCAACCAATTTATTGACTAGGTAAATGGTGTGACCTTGACACAAAAAATAATATGAACTGTTTACCTATCTTGGTATTTCCGGCGTATTTAAAAATGGAATCATACTTATTTACAACAATTGTCAATCATTAAACTACCTATTTACCTACATAACTACACTAACCTTAACAAATGTTCAAAGCGAGCTCCTTCTCGTGTGATACACAGTTCGGCACGTTTACGTGGGTCACTTTTAATAGTTTTGAAATCACTATTGATTTTTAATTTCAACTCCTCTCTGTTTACATACTCTGTAGCATACACAAGACGTTTCCTTGGGCATGTGTTGGAACACGGAACTGTCCGAAGTCTCGTAATCTTTGATTAGCGTTTAAGATGACGCTGGCCGTAGGTACTCGACGATTGGGGAACATCTCCCGGTACAAATTGATTGCGCCCGGCAAGCTATCATTTGCACGCGAATACGCATGAACCATGTCCAAGTATTCTGCATTTGTGTATTGAAAAGCCATATTTAATTACTAATAAGTAATAACGGGTCACACGCACACACGACAGATTATTATTAGGTATACGCGTAAGATCGATCGCTAGGCGCGCGCGCGCGGGAAGACGAACGTACGGACCTTACGGCGGCGCTCGCGCGACTAATAGCCGACTAATGGCCCGCTAGCCACGGGGCGGGGGTTGGGGAGTAGCGACACACTGGCGCCGGCAAGGCTGAGTACGTGTCCAAACTTTATTTATTTATACGGAAATTTGGTCAAAAATTAAGAACCTATTTTTTTTACATAATTCGAATGAGAATCATGTACCGAGTATGCTCCTTAAATATTGATAGTAATTCACCAGTCACCCTGTATATTATATACAGCCACGGGCAAAAGTATTAGGCACCCTACAGTAAGACAAGTTTTAGGGTGTTTTAGCATAGCGAGTGTAAATAAAACTGCATTTATGATTACAATGGTTTATTTTAAGAAAATAATTAATATTTTGTAGGTCCACCTTTTGACTTAATAACCGCAGCCACTCTTTTTGGCATTGACTCTACCAGCCTGAAACATTCTTCTCTTGATATATTTTTCCATTCCTGCTGTAACGCGGCCAATAGAGCTTGTTTATTGCTAATCGAGTGCCTGCGGATATTTTTCTTTAAAATGGACCAAATATGCTCAATCGGGTTGAGGTCTGGTGATTGTGGTGGCCAGTCCAAAAGATCAATATGATTTTCAGCAAAACACTTCATGGTATGCGCGGACTTGTGGCAGGTGGCGTTGTCTTGCTGAAATTTCAGGCCATCGGTGTTTGTATCACCGAAAATTTGTGTTATCGACGTTGCTAGTGCTGTTTCCAGAACTTCAGTGTATTTAACACTATTCATTCGTCCCTCACACAACACCATTTCGCCCACTCCGTCGGCAGCCATGCAGCCCCAGATCATTATTGAGCCTCCACCATGCTTAACAGTGGGAACCACACATTCTGGGTTGTATTCTTCGCCAACCCTTCGCCTAACATAAGTCACACCGGGTGTTCCAAACACCTATGCCAAACGAAAAAAACACATTTATTTTCAAAGTTATTATTTTTCATGCAGTACGTTATTTTAAAAACATTTATGTGTTTTAATATTGTACATAAAATAAATAACAATCCCTCAAAGTTAGATTCGTCTGACCACAGTATGTTGGACCAATCTTCCACTGACCAATCTCTATGTTTGAGTGCCCACTCCAACCGATTTTTCTTATTGTGTTCTGACAGCCACGGCTTCTTCCTTGCTTTACATCCTTTTAATCCAGCTTTAAGAAGTCTTCTTCTCACAGTATAAACACTCACTGAGCTGCCTTTTGCCTCAGATAATGCTGCAGCGAGCTCTAAAGCAGTTTTTTTCCGGTTTTGTAGAGACTGCCTAATCAACAATCGATCTTCCCGTTCAGTAGTAACTTTTCTTCTGCCTGTTCTTGGTCTATTTTCATGGGTGCCAGTCTCTTTGAAGCGATTTATAGCATATTGAACTGCACATCGCGAGCACTTCACTTCTCGGGCTATTTTAACCTGAGACATGCCTTGTTCATGTAAAATCTTAATTCTTAGACGATGTTCAGCACTAAGTTCAGATTTTTTCGGCATGATTAACACGTTAAATGTTAGTCTTTAGAATTGTGATAGGAATAGTTGCGTAGAAGACGTGTATGTTCACTGCAAGCACTGATAACACACTATAACCCGAAACGCAAAAAAAGCAAATTCGAAGAAACACCGCTTAGGAGCACACCTGGATGTCATAAATATTTTCTTTTATCTTAATTTGGTTAAAAATTGCCGCTAATACAATAGCTAAACCATAAAACACAGACTTGACCGCAATATAATGAGATAGTGACTAACAATAGGGGTGCCTAATACTTTTGCACGCAGCTGTATGTATATTAGAAACAATATCAGAATTGACTTTTTGAAAAATAATATTGAATACAATTACAATATTAATTTATTAAATTTACTCAAAACTAAAAAAATATATATAACTATCAACAATCTCGATTCAAACTTATCATGAAATGAAATATAAATATAACATAAACGAACCATTTAAATACAGTTTGAAAAATTACAATCGATTGATCTATTTCACCAATGCGTGTTACGAAAGAAAAAAAAGAAATATAATGTTATATAAACTTAATCAGTTTCATTATTATTTACAAAAACTTGTATACACTGAACAAAAATAATCGTCGCGACACCACACTGTTCAATGCGAAATAGAAATGAAAATATCTGGCTTGCTTTCTATAAGAGGTAGAGAGAGAGACAGACAGAGAAACATGCGACGCCGCACAGCTTACATTTACTATAGCAAAAAGTGTCGTGACAACTTTTCGTGACAATATTTTCCGTCTAGCCCCCTTTCACAACGCGCGATAAGGAACTTCGTTCCAAAAGAGTCCTGATCTCCTTTGACAACTGCTCATAGGTCGTTTGAGTCTCTCCTAACCTCTCATTTATTACCATTTATATATTATTGTATATTTTACTAAATATTTCGATTACTTTGAACGATCGAGTTCATGGTCATTTTACTTTCATATACTCTTCCCGTGATCAAGGTAACTGTAAAATAATTGTAACGGATATAGAGAAAGCTTAGAATATGTGTATATATTTAATTATATTAACCTTTTTGGTATAAAAAAAGAAACTAATAATTATATATTAATATGAAATAATTATTATTAATAAATGACAATGTCGTTTTCAGAAAATCTATTTCACCAAGAGCATGGTCCAGATATTGAACACATTGACGTCGTTGAATAAAATAAATTTCACGAATCCAAAGAATCCTAAGATACCAGCTGAATGTTTCTACATTGAGAATCTTTGTAACTACGTTGACATAGCAACAGACTATATCAACTGGCTGTCGGATCAAGATGTGAGTATTATGTATACTTCTTCTTCCTGGCAACTTCCCAGCTTTAGCCAGGGTCTGTCTTATATATGTATACTAATAGAAGTATATAACAATAGAATTATTATTATTTTACCTAAAATTGTATATTTGTATAGCCATTACTTTTACTCTTTACTTCTAAGGCTGCCTTTATGCGATACAAATTATTATTATTTTTAGTTTATTATCCCTTAATAGTATAGTATGAGTAAAATTAAACATTTAACAAGAATAGTGTCGTTATTAATATGTATATATAATATTAAAATTTTTACAGTCGTCACAACCACATCTATGTAACTACGCGTTCCTATTCGATGTCCAATGCAAATCCCTACTACTGAAAATCGATCAGCAAGTACAAATGCAAATCGCCGTGAATCAAGTAACAACACAAATATTCACACGTCTGTTCATGGATCCGACTTACGAATATCAAAGAGACCAATTTCTGATATTAACAGTGTCGAGAAACCATTTAGTAAGGGACACGATGCTGCAAATAAGCAATCATGATACATCCCAATTGAAGAAACCTCTAAGAGTAAGTTGCAAGGATTATTTGTGAATTAAAAAACCAAAAAAGTACTATTAGTAATAATGGTAATGTTTTCATTCATACCTATTAATTTTGGTATATTTGAATGTGAACTCCTAGACTATATAAAATGATATTAAACTTAATATGTATATGTTTTAGGCAGAATTTAGTAACATGTTAATGTTTTCATATCTATTATAATTTTTGTATCTTTCAATATGAACTCTTAGTCTATATCAAGTGAAATTAAACTTAATTTGTATATGTTTCAGGTAGAATTTGTAGGCGAAGAGGCTGAGGACGCTGGTGGCGTTAAAAAGGAATTCTTTATGTTACTATTAAAAGAAATATTTGATCCAGTGTACGGGATGTTCAAACAGTCGGAAGAGACTAATATGATATGGTTCTCAAACAATCCCTTCGAGGACGAAGTCATGTACTACTTGATAGGTAACATATTACATTACAAAATATTCATCACATAATATACTTGAAATTTAATTTATTATTTGTGAATTTATTTATTTTCTAAGAAAATCCTAATCAAAATTTAACTTAAAAAACTTACGTCAATTGCTTGCAACCAATCGCTTACATCTTTAATCACGTGGTTGATTAAAACTTGATTATTTTCATAGTAATCTCTTATGAAAATCTTACCCAGTTTTAAATGCCTTGCACAATTAATAAAAAAATTACAGTTATATAATAGTAATACGCTTAAATTTTATATATTCATTATTAACATTAATAAAATACATTTCAGGAGCTATATACGGTCTAGCGATATATAATTCAATAATTATCTACGTTCCGTTCCCGCTAGTGTTGTACAAGAAGTTGTTAGGTGAATCTGTTATGTTAGACGACCTGTCTGATCTATATCCAACACTAGCCAGCAGTCTTAAACATTTATTGGACTATCCCGACGAAGATGTTGAAGAAGTACGTATAAATATTAAACAAATTGCTTCTAAACTTTTATAATATAAAAAATATATTTTATAATGAGATCTAAAACTTTCGCGAGTAATCATTTAAATGAAACTAATATTTTGAGATTACCACGCATATTTTATATTTTTAAAAATACGTACAATGTTTCGGTTACTTTGGTACATCTCGCCTGTCACGGTTGCTGCAAAGTTACCGAAATATCAAGAGTATGTTGTTTATAAAAATAACAAAATAGGCGTAGTAATCAGGAAATATTCCTTTCGTTTAGATTTAACATGTATTGTGATAATTTTACTAAAATATACTTATTTATTATTTACCATTATAACATTTTGTTTTAGGTATTCAGTTTGTGTTTCGCTGTAAACACTGAAGTCTTTGATCAAATACAAGTACATCCTCTTAAGAAGAACGGTGAGAATATATCAGTGACACATGAGAATAAGAACGAGTATGTTGATCTGTATGTTGATTTTCTTCTAAACAAATCTGTGGAAAATCAGTTCAGGGCTTTCAATCAAGGATTTCAGAAGGTAATGTATGATTAATGTTTATTTATTTAGAATGCAATAATAGTTATTATTGAATTCACTGTGTTTTGTGTTAACTGTTTTATACTAAGTTAATTTCAAATTCATTTTATTGAAAATAAACAACAGTGCATACATATTTGTGAATAAACCATAGATATATTATAAATAGAGAATAAATAAATAAAATAACATTTATATTGTTGTTAGGTATGTGGCGGTAGAATAATAAAGCTGTTCAGATCCCACGAGCTACAGTCGGTGGTGATTGGGAACGAGGAATACGACTGGGAGATGTTTGAGAACAACTGCGAGTACAAGAACGGGTATACGGCCACCGACCCACAGATAAGGTGACGAACAAGCCATAAAAATAGTATAGTGCGTTCGATTTAAGCTGAGCTTTGCATTTGTGTGAGTGCACACGGATAGTGTAGGTGTGATGTCAAATTTTTGAATGAAACGTTCTTATCTAGATTTGAACCGGTTTATACTGCTTTTACTCCGCCCATCACCTTCCTCACTTCACCCTTTGTACTGATAGCAACATCAAATGTCTAAAACCCAATGTCAAGTCAAGATGAATTTGTATAGTTTTTTTTTTAAATTTTAATTAGTTAATTAATTTTTCCCTTACTATCTATACTAACATTATAAAGCTGAAGAGTTTGTTTGTTTGTTTGTTTGAAAGCGCTAATCTCCGAAACTACTGGTTCGAATTGAATAATTCTTTTTGTGTTGGATAGTCCAGTTATCGAGGAAGGCTGTGGGCTATATAACATCACGCTACGACCAATAGGAGCAAAGATATAGTGGTAAATGTGTAAAAAGAAGGAGAAATTATTTCATTTTTGAAGCCATCCATTGCGTGTGCCGTGAAAACGGTTCAAGATACACAAAAAATATGTATTAAAGAATAATAGCGACAGTATATGTCTATCTTTTAAGATTAACTCACAAAAACCGTTTTTATGGTACCTAATTTGGTCGAAATAATTTGTTTAAGTTGTATCAACATAATAATATTAATCTTTATTCAAACAAATAAATATGTTGTTGGTTAAGAGTACTTCATTGTGAATTTTAAAAAAAACATAGGTTTTATCCTGAAAACTCTACGGAAACTCGACCATTCCGAAAACCCCGCAAGAACGGGAACTATGTGGGAAGAACCAAAAATCTGCCAGTAGTCACTATTCCACGCGGACTAAGCTAGTTTATAATATTTCCGTCTGGACTTTTACAAGTTTTGAATACTTTATTTTTAATCTAAAATCGCTCTCGTATTTATGTTAGGTATCTATTTAAATTATAATAAAATTGAATTCTATAAGTTTTTTGTCTAACTCTACTTTTTACTTTCACTCACAAAAATGCAAAGCTCAGCTTTAGTCTAACGGACTATAACTTATTAATCTTGTGTGACTAAGAAATATCTTACTCTATAAAAAAGTTTAAATTTAGAACATCATAAAATATCCTTCGTATTGCCGTTTCAAAATGTAATTCTTTTTTATTTTTAAAGTATATCCCTATTATAGTATTAAAATCAGTTATTTTAAGAAATATTATAGAATATCATAACGTAACAAACAAGTGTTAGTTATTTTTATATGTTTCTTATATATTCTCGTCTGTGTATCATATTCTTATCTGTATAAGTATTCAAATATTGAAATGTTGTTTTTATTATAAATCAAGCATATGTGTTTATCCAAGATATCTATAATTGAGATCTATGTTTTATTGAACGGTTTACCCCCTTTGTGATTTTATTAATATTCATTTATTTTTAAAGATGGTTCTGGGAGGTTTTCCACGAGTTGCCGCTAGAAGATAAAAAGAAATTCCTACTCTTTCTAACCGGCAGTGACCGTGTCCCCATTCAAGGAATGAGAGATATAAAGGTAATATATTAATATTAAGACAATATTGAACTACTATTTAATAAGCTCGTATTAAAGAATTTTCTATGTAATATAATGTTATATACAAAATATTTACACATTAGAAATTATTGATTTAATATTAAGATATCTGTACGAAATGATTAATATATATGAATGCAAATTTATATAGTTGATCTGCTTCCTGCAGGCTAACCTGAGAACCGAAATATGTCACCCTAAATCTATCCATTGATTTTATTGTCCATGTAAAACTGTATAATTGTAGTGTCTGAACGACTAATATATAAAATCATTAATAATAGTAAGTCAGTGGTGGCCTAGTGGTTAAAAGGCCGCGCCTCTCATGCATGAGGGAGCGGGTTCGATATATGTACTTTCTTTTTTTTATATTTTTCATTCTTTTCTTTCTACCAGTCTTTTTACTTAGTACTTTCTAAGAGTCGTAAAAACCAATAAGCCAAAATTATTCACAACATGTAAGGCAGACCCTGGTTAAAAGCTGGGAAATAGCCAGGTAGAATAAGATTAATGTTAATACTGTTAACATATATGTCATAATAACGTTTACAGATAAGAATCCAGCCAGTAGCTGACGATAGATTCTTCCCAGTGGCTCACACGTGCTTCAATCTTCTAGACCTGCCTCGTTACCAGACCAAAGAGAGACTTAAATATCACTTATTGATGGCTATACAACAGACGCAGGGTTTCTCGCTAGTATAGACCCAATACATATATTATTTAAAAAAAATGTGATGTAGTAAATCTTTCTTAAAGAACTTACAACTATAGACTTAACAGATTTTTTTGTCTATGCCATTGACATAGATAAGAAATGTCTCACAAAACATTGATATTGCTCAATGTTTATCTATCTGTAACAAAACAAACGGCCATTATTATTTAGGGAAAGGTTATTTTGGTAAAAAAAAAAAAAACAGCAAAATTTTCATTCTATAAATTAAAGACTTCCTAGATAAACGTTTACTGATAATAATAGTTATAAATAATTTGCATTTAAATATAAAAAATATAATAATTGTATTTATAGCTATTTTAAATTTATTTCTTATATGTTGAATTTCAAGACTTGAATAAGTTTGGAAGAACAATGACATGATTTTATTAGGTTTACGTTAAATTAATGTGATTAATAGATAAGGCTCTGTTAAACATCATGTGTTTTTTGTTAAGAAATGTCATTATTCGAAAATTATTATTGGTAACAATTTAACGTGTTTCAGTCACAAAAAAATGTATAAATTATTATAAGAAAAATGGCTTGGATGAAAACAATAAAATATTAGGCCTTTAAAATTCGAAGTTGTTAACTCATTCTTAGTAACCATAATGTTCTTAATTAAAACGAATATGATTTTTTAGAAATAATTATTTTTGAAATAATTGTTATAACTTTAAATAAATCAGAATTGTATATATGTTTTGTTTTATTACTCAATGTTGATATTTTAGGACGTTTCTTAAGTATTTTAATGGAATGACGTAATGCATTTACTGGTTTATACTATACTATGAATGTGTTGCTAGTATATATATTTATTTTTTGAACAAAAAATTGTAATTGTATCTGGTTATACTAAGTTCGCTTATAAAGAGCGTCCTTTATAAAGAATTTAGTTGAATTATTAATAAATGCTAGTCGATAGTCATTACAGAGGTTACCTCAACTAACATCTGTGATAGATATCGAATATGTATGATACTGGGACAATACTATATGTTAATGCTATATAGTTTGCACATGTACATGACTCCTGACTTTGTTTACCTCGGCTGGGCTTTGTTTCTAGTTATTTATGCACTATGGTGTAGGCACTATGGTGTTATGGTCCGGTTTGTACACTATGTATGTATATGTTAAATAAAAATATTTTTATATAAAAAACTTGTTTACTTTTTTGGAGACTTCATCTACTTATGTTCGGTTCAGTACTGATGTTATTTTACAGTTCCTTTTTGTGTTTATTTCTCGTGTTATGTTTATATGTTTTTAGTTTTAAATGTTATTTGTGTGTGAATTGTTTTTTGTATTTTCTAATGAATATGCATGTTTTATATTTGTATAACTGGTTAATGGATAATACATTGGTACGTTTATACAATTCTTTAGTTGACATGTAATAATCTAGATGGAATAATGTTTTTAGTAATTTATTTTGCGAAATCTGAAGATCCTTCATATTAGTTTTAAATGCACTTCCCCAAATCTCAACAAGATATTCTAATAAAGGTTTGACAAGTGTGTTATACATATATTATAATACGAATCTTGTGCGGTATACAACGTTATGTATGCGGTATATAACGTACGTTATCTACGTATAGCTCCAGTAAGTGAGGTTATTTTTCTTTGTAAATAATCTAAATGTGCATGCCATGTTAGTTTCGGGTCTAGGATCAGGCCTAGATACTTTTCTTGATTTGATTGTTTGATAGTCAGGTTATTTATCGTTAATGGAGTGAAATTTTATATTTTCTTATTTTTTGCATAAAAAAGCATGAGGTCTTTTCAATATTTATAGTGAGTAAATTATATTGAAACCATTCGTGTAGTTTATCTAAATCCTTCTGTGCTTTAACTAATAGACTTTTTATAGAAATCCTCAAAGTAAAACAAATAAGTGTCGTCTGCATATAGCAATACTTCACCAAATAAAACCTAGGTTACTAATATCATTTATATACTATGTATATTAAAAATAACAAAGCCGTAAAATGGATCCCTGGGGTATTCCATAACTTATCATTTTTTGGTGTACTTTTAGTCTTTTCAATGTTAACTATTTGTAAGGTATGATGTAACTAATTTTAAAGCTGATCCATAAATACCAATACTTGTTAATTTATTTATCAAAATAGTATGAGACACGGTATTGAAAGCTTTTTAAGTCTATAAATTTACCTAAAACTAATTTCTTTCGATCAATATTATTTTTTATTTTAGTAACTAAATCGATTGTATATTAGTAGAATATAAAATTAGAACGACTCAAAAATTACCAAAACCAAAAGTAACCATAACCGAAATTTTGTCCCATATAACTCTTTAAATTAAATAAATAATAAGTAAGACTCTCCCTGACATCAACGAATTCCTGATTTTAGAAGTCGATTAAAAAGTGCAACGCATCGCTGTATGTACGTGAATAATAAAGGATAAAAATATTATTGGGACTATTAATACCGTAAATACAATCAAAAATAAATATAGTTAGATCGATTGTCTATGTGTTTGGGCACGCAAATGCAGAAACGACTTTTTTAAGTGGCATGTGGTTTTCACTAATTAATTGTGGTAAGCTTCACTTAACATTCAATGACTATTTCATGTCAATCGGCTCAAACATATTAAAGTGATCTCAACTTTAATAATAACGTTAAAAAATACAAGTAATAAATTTATTTATGAATATAATATAACAATATGTAATAGGTACATTTATGTATTTATTTATTCTGTAGTTTACAAGGAATTTTTACTCAATATACCTACATTTATGATTATAAGATTAAATAGTTAGGTATACTGAAAAAATAGAGTAATATACTATTGCTTAAAGGATCTTAGTTCTTTTACATTAATTTGTTTTAAAGTTAGGTTAAAACATCCTAAAAGTTCAGATATATATGTGTATATACATATATACCTACGTTAAGAATATAATTCACCACTGTCTGGATATAAAATATATAATAGAAAAACTTGTAGTTTTAAGCAGAATATGTGGCTCTGTTCCGTTTTAGCTTCCTAGTATCCCAGTAGCTCTTAGGATTTCATGCTCAATGTTCATACATCTAATACAATATTGTATTGGAAGCATTATGGTAAGGGTTCTTGCAATGTTAAAAGTATTTATTTTCGATTTTGATATTAACATTAAATATCTACAATTTAATAGAATGAAAAACTTCAAAATATGATATTTCAATTTCAATTAAGTGTTATAAGTTCCAAATTTATTTCTTGTAACCAAGTTTGTCAATTCGCGCTTTAGGTTTTATGCTTTATTTTTTACTGGGTTTGATTTCCGTCTAACATTAGCTTTTATTAAGAAATAAGTTAGCCCCAATTAAGGAATAAAATCTTTCCTTTGAGCAAAATATTTTTTTCCGTATATAATACGCATTTATCGAAATACTTTCTTTTGTTTCTTTCCGTATATTGCAGGTATTGTATTTCTTAAGGTTTCTTACAATTAAAGAAGATGTAGCTTCTTTTAAGAGTAAATGATATTAATTTTATTATATCTCTAGGAAAGACTGCTAAACAGTTGCTGCCAATTTTAAAACTCTACATTTAGTATGTTTATGGACATTGAATCGTCACCATTTTTATATTTTTGTTAAATCTGTTGTGATGGAAATTCAGTCCATCAAAATAATTTGCCGTAAAATTTTAAAGCCAATATGTAATGAATAAATAATTAAATAAGGATTGACGTTACTTTATTGTTAATACAAATAAATGAAAGAATGTATACGCTTTAAAAATTTATTTAAATAAAAAATAAATGATGATTTATAGTAAAAATCATTTAATCGAACATTTTATATACAATATAATTCAAATTAAATAACAATGACTAGTTAAGTACATACGAATTAAGCTTTGCGAGTTAATTTTGTATTTTTACATTTTGCAGAAGCTTAAAATGAAAAGATCAATTGTAATATTTCTATGATTTCTTTTTTTGTTAAGAAGCGTAAAGCAATTTCGCACGAATTCGTCTGTTTCAAAGCACATTTACATTTTTTCGTATTTATCAAATGTTTTGTTAAAAATTATTACTTCATACTTACACTTAGAAGCTAAGTTATGATTATAAATTAATTATATGTTAATGTACTGACTGTGGCTGACCAATCGCCAATCGAGCACATGCACAAAGACTTTAATAACAAAAGTCTTCACAAGTACCTACACTGGACATCCGCTCTGGGACATCGAGTTTCATAATGTATTAATGAAATTTATGAAGTGAAAGACTATTAATTTTGATATCTAATAAGAAAGTTGATCTGTGTTTTTAATGTTTTGATACGATTTGTAGTTTTTTAATTTATTTGATATATGGCTAGTTATATATTAATATGATGATCGGCCCGAGAGGGGTTCAAAGTGTTGCGTGCCGGGTGGGACGCGGTAACTTGTGTAACTGTGATTCAGGGCGTGCTGCGAAAAGAATTCCGTGTAGTCCTTTTTAACCTGAAAATTATATTTTAATTAAAAAAATATATTTATTTGTTTCGTAAACTATAAACATTAATGACGTTATTTCATAGCGTTATTTTTTATACATGGTAATTATGAATAAGTTGGAGTAATGATAAAGCATAGGCACACATGCAGTACGTATAGTGATCTAATTTCTACCTTTTCACTAAAACTAAGAGTGACAGAAAATAAGTACGAAGATACTTACTACTTGTTTAAAACATTACACGATACTAATTCTATGAAAATATATTTATTATTACAACTTGATAGTTGTTACGTTTTGATTATTAAGACTTTTACTTTCGTTTTATGCTCATTTTTGTAAACGATTGTACTTAATGTAAAGCTAATAAGTGTTTTTTTTGTCCGCAGTATCTGTTATAAGGGTAGCGTTTAGAAAAATGAGCCTAACCGAAATGAAAGAGCACTGAGTTATTGTAATTTTTCTGACTATAGTCACACATGTCCGAATCACTTACAAAAGTTAACTAAGTCCGCCAAGTGCCGACTAGCGACAAGTCTAAACGACGGACTCCTACACCTCGTTCAGTGCAAGTAATTCGGCAAGCGAATATTGCCGGGGCTAAAACAGATAATTTACCTTACATTTGGCGGTCAGCGTTCCAATAAATTTTCATTTATATATTCTTAGATTAAGCTTCCAATCAATTATATATTCTTTTCATTTAATTCCCGTCCTGCATGTTAATGAGTGAGTAAGCTGGGATTTTCAGTTTGAGGTTCACTCAAATCAAACATTGTTAGAGGATCATTTAAAACTAAAGCGTACACTTTATAAATATGCATTATAGTCATGCCCAAAACTTTACGGATTAATTTCATTATATTATACGAATGTGATATTTACAATGCATTATTTATGAATTGTCATAATTAAATATATGCATCATCACATCCCGTTTAATTGAATGTTATGTACAATTTCTTATTGTTATATAAAGTTATAATTTAAATTGTTATCAATGATAACAAAGACTTCATTTTGACTGATTTATAGAATATTAATTTGATTAAATATTTGAATATTTATGTATATTTATATTGTTCTACCTTGCGTGGTCTGCAAGCTGGTCCTTTGGCCAGTTGTCTTCTGGCCTCATTCTCAGCATCAACTGCATCCTTCACCGACTGCGGCGGCCATTTCTGATCTCCACGCATGTTTACGCCTCCTAATAAATTAAATACTAACATTTGTATACAGTTGTACATAGGTAAAAGAATGTAAAGTAGGGGGATCTTATTTTAAATGAACAATAAATAATGAAATGTATTTTATGTCAGGAAATTAAAATATGCCTAGGTACTTTGTATTTTATAAAGTCAAATATACACCATTTCTTTTCTACATATTTACATTTTAGTAGGGAAGAATGAACACAAATTTATATAATCGTAAGTAAATTATCATTAGTTAGGTATCTACCGATTACTAATAATAATTAATTTCTCCCAAAAAAGAAAGTATTTCCTTATTAATTTATATAGATAAGCTATCTTAGAGAACAATTTTTTAGTATTATGTTTATAAGTATAGAATTGTCAATTTGTATTTATATTTCGAAACAAAGCATGAGAACTGAGTTTAATTTCTTGAGAGTTGCATGGTTATTTCACTTGTTTGATATTAAAGCTGAAACGTGTTACGAGTTACGAATCACTTTACTTAGACGTCACAGACAATGGCAATATAAGTTTTCATAAAGAATATGAAGTAGCTCTTTACATAAGAATGAATGCTATATTATGCTTCATAACCAAACGTCTTTTTTAGTTTTAATAACATTTAAAATACGCTTTTTAAGGATCAGTTTGTAGAGACAGAATTTTAATTAAAGATATATTTTATTTTGCACACTTCAAGAACTAGTCTGATTTGGTAACTATGATAGAATTTAAAGATGAACTGTTTAATGAGATCTAAGACTTTCCCGAGTATTCACTTAAATGAAACTAATATCATATTTATTTTAAAACTACATACTCCCGACGCGATACTCGGTTACTTTTCAGCAACCGTGATCACGGGCAGACGAGATGTGAGAAATTTTTAATATTTTAATTTTTACCTTTAAGCGACGCTGTTGCTGGTTGGCTGGCAAAGACTGGAGGAGGTTGCTGGTGAACCGGTGGTTGTTGACGAAGGGTTATGGTTGTCGGTGGAGGTTCAAATTGTCTTTGAGGTGGCTGGTACACTGGTTCAGAGTATTGTGGCTGCGGCGAGTATTGTGGCTGTGATCCGTATTGTGGCTGCGATCCGTATTGTGGCTGAGATATTTATTTAAAGATGTTATGTTTGAAGGACTTTTCTAAAATACTAATCAGTTTTTTTATTATTCACTTTCATCATAGCCGATTTCTAGAACTAGAATTTGTTTACCGGCTATAAATATACATTTTTCAAATTTTTTTTTAGTTAACCACTTAGTATTCGTATACTTGTAAGTCTTAAAGAGTATACATATCTTAGTGATAAAGGTTAAACCTAATGATATTAAAGAATTTGACAATATGATTACCTGTAAGTATTTGTTAAAATAAATCTACTAGTCTGTAGGAGTAGAATAAATTTAGTAGTATCGTGAAAATTACATGTTGTACATAGTAGCAACTATGTAATGGCTACTTTTCAAACGTGATCCATTTAAAAGTAATTAATCTGTCTATATTTTGGTTACATATTAATAAATAGTTCCAGAAACCCATTTTAGTGTGTCATGCCAATAACTGAAGTGTAACAAAATGAGTGTTTAGCAGATTTTCAGAACAAACAGACGTTGCAATTCAGATGTTCTATATTAATTTACATGCAGGGTTATTCAACGACAAAACTACCTGGGGAGAGACCGGGGCTGGTACTGGGGCCCAGCGACTGGGTTGTTGTTTGTAGGGCTGGGCACTTGGTGAGAGAGGACCTTGGCGGTAAGGGGAAACAGGGGAGGCTGTGACACCAGGCCCCACAGGGATCAGTTTACTTAGACCTGTTGCTTCTTGGCGTTTCCCGTCGCAATACGCTGGCTGACCCTGTGCTTGGTATGAAGGGTAACTGGATGGGGAGAATTGGGATTGTGGGGCCTGACGGTTCACGGGTTGTTGAACTGGAGGTTGTGGGGAATATTGCTGATTGGGGGTCTGTGCGTTGTTGTAGTATGCGGGACTCTGCTGTAGAGCATAATGACCAAGTATATCTATATGTACAAACTAGCGAATAATACGTCCGATCATAATATATCTAGACGATACTACTGTATATACTAGGAGAAAGATGGTAGTTAAATTACAGCTGGAAATATCTTTGTATATCGGGTTAGTATTTAAAGATTTTGTAATTAAATATATTTATATAAAATATAGATACAAGCACCTGATCTTCTCGTTCAAACTACATTAACGTATTCCGTAACCATGCTATTACAGTGCTTATTTAAAGCTATGTGCAGCTTTTGTTTCGTTTTGACTTATTTACAGTATTTTAATTTTAATTACCTGCTGTGGTTGATGATAACCGTTAGTTTCGGGCACTGGAGGCCAAACTACCTTCTTTTGACCTGCAACAAGTCAGAAGTTTTAACATTGAAATCGTTCAAGGAAGTGGTATTTTTATTGTGAACATTATTTATAATACAAGGTGACAAATTTTCTATCGTCGCATTTGATCTGGAGACGATGTTATCTCAAGACCACAGTAACTTATTATGACACATTCCGCTTCAAATAAGATTGGCCCACCGTATCTCTGGCTTCGCGCCAGAGGATCGAGAGCGAAAAAACATTTTTTATCTCTAAAACTTTAATGTTTTTGAAAATATAAATAAAAAGAGGAAGAGAATTTTTATATTAATTATATTGAAGTTTACTTCTCAAATACTTTTTGGAAATACAAGCATTTTCTTACATTCGTGTTGTCGGAGGCATAATTTTTGTAACAAACAATGATGCAATGTATAATCTGTGTAGACGTTGTTTTAATTGAAGTGATTCGAATTCGAAACAAAAGAATAACTTTGAAATAGAAAAAAAAGAATTTAAGTTCGCAATATTTTTGTCAAATTATATATATAAAACAATATAATAGGCAGTTTGTTTCGCTTGCTATTCAATAGAGATAGTGTTCCGTTATTGATTGGCCAGATTACATTTCAACATCCTAATCAAGATTTCGGAAATGTTTACGTTCGTAAATCAGAAAATGTAAATGTTTAAATCACTTTAAAGTAAACGACACCTTTGAGCTTATTTTAAAACAAACGACTTCCTTAAATAATCTGAAACCGAAATTCAAGACTTCGATGCAATAGATCTTATAGACTCTAGGTATAACTTACAATCAGCGAAGAGCAAGTCACTCTCGTCACTGACTAGCCAGCACTACGTGCGTCCAGCTCTTGCCAGGTGTTAATGTGCAGAAATAACTACATATATATATTTTAAGATATCTCTTTTTAGGGTACACGTCACTACCACACTCAAGATTCGATTCTAACTTCCTATTTGTGTCCCACAAAAATACCTGTAATAAAAATATTCTCGAAATCGTGACGTCAATTACATTATAATACATTTCCTGCTTAAATATAAAAATAAAATTAAGATTTATATTAGTTTTTCTTAGACTTATTAAATAACTATTTTGAAGATGTCTAATTAATTAATGTAGTATTTTTTATATTTGTCATTATATTAAGATGTCAAGTGTACAAAAAGAATAGGTACTTTAAACTTACAAAGCAGTGCATAATTTCAATTACAGTAAAATAAGAAAAAATATAATTTTAATGTGATCTACTGAAGCGAAATTGACAGTAAATTAAATTATAATGGGCGTCGATGTTACTGCCTACGACTATTTGTAATTTAGACACAGTAAGACGATATACAACTTCATGTGACAAAAAGAAAAGTTATGATAGATAATTTTTAGTCTAATATTTTGACAATATTAAAGTAAGTTAGTATTGATTGAAACTCAATATATTATATAATTAAGAACAATATACAAATACCATTGATCACGAATGCAGATGACAACAACTTTGGACGAAAATACATTCACGATATATAACTCCAAGGTAATGTTTTATTTTGGTTTCTTATTACTCAGTATTTGTTATTTGAGTTTCATTATAAAGTTTGGTTAACTCAAGGTCGACGTAATAAAATGCAAAATTTTCAGTGTTTTATTTTGAAAGCCTGGAGCAAATTGTGTCGATATGAAAACAGATATGTCATCTAAATATGAAATAATGTTAAGTGATAGATAATAACAGATTTTATAAATAATTATTGAAATTAACATTCGTAAATCATGTTTTATATGAATAAAATTAGTTCAGATATTTTCATCGCAATTAGTTTAATTAAAGTTAAACTAAATTAACATAACAATATGCCTAGTAAAATCATTTGTAATGTTAAAAGCATTTATTATATCTATATTAAATAAATATTATTATATTTGTAGCAATGGAATATTAATATAAAGCAGTACTATCATCATAATTAAAATGCCTATATCTTAAAATAAAATTATTAAAAGAAATATTATAAAAGCTTTATTTTAAATATAATACATGTTAGAATAAGCTGTTTCTTAAGTTATATAGTTTTATATCAAGTCTATTACCAAGTGGTAAGTCGTTAAACATCTGTACATTAATTTCAATATCAACAGATAGTGATAACATTGTTGAAGATTTTAAATATTTTTGGTCTGTGAATGTTCTCGTTGAATCCGATACTCGGTCTCTGTTGCATCTTTTCAGCGCACTAATATTAGATGTTGATTCATGGAGCTCGCCTCATCAGAAATAGTTACAACATTGCGTCAAACAAAACGTATTTTTTATTGAAAAATATATGTGAATTTTTACTGAGAATACTAATATATTTTCTTAAAATATATAAAGTTAACATTAGTTTAAACGGATTTTTTAAAATATTTATTTAATTAGAGACACGTTAAATTTTTACTTCCCAAATTTTTTGTAGTATTAAATTTAAATAAAATGCTTTATTTTATACAACAGGTAATTGTTAGAAAGTTATATCCGAATCTTGATTTAAATACCTCATGATAAATCTCATGAATAAAGACGTGTGTGAAAAAACGTGTCGTTTTTTTACCATAGAGCCCTTTAAAACATCTTGTGTATTAAAAATACTTAGCCTGCCTTCATAAAATATGATTTTTCGGTTGCTTCAATTCAAATCGTGTGAACTGATTACAATTGTTAGTTTGTATTGAAATGTTTCATTTAAAATAATTTATAATTTTACAGATAAACATTGAGAATGATGAAAAAATATTGAGAAATCATAACGTGAAATAAACCAGAATCATATCGAGAAAAAATCCTTAAGGAAGATTAAATATATAAACTTTGATTGTTATTTATATAACTATATTCATTTACACGTACAACTTACCTTCGTTTTAGAATAGACTAAAAGAACTATTTTGTTTGTTTGTAAATCACATGAGTATATACATATATAAAGATAAACTAATTTTAATACATTCATATTGAAATTCAATTAAAGGTTTCTTGCAACAAATTTTATAGTATAAAACACAAAAAAAATATTGTACTTTACCGACAACAATCATTTCTGGCATTTTCGTTTGTGTTCGTTCGCTTACTGATTTATACTAAAGACGTTTTGCTAAGTCACTTTTAACAAAATTTCCAATAAGTGCCAACATTTCATGTCAATGACCAATACTCACAAAATGTATCTGACAAAAAATTACGTATACAGAAGGTCACATGCATGAGGATGAGTATATGTACATTACTCCTACACCAAAATAGTTCAGTTATAATTGCTCTTGTTTGTTTTTGTTTTGTTCAAACTAATGAGATGTTTTCATGTATAACACTAGTCTATAAGAAATGAATGCGGTACGAATATATTTTTTATAGAATGATATCGTGATAAAACATTGAGACACGTCTACTTCTACTATGGAGGTACCTTTAGTAGCCTTCATTAGTTCAGAATAAATATATGACGTAGCATTGACTTGACCGTTCCAACCTCGAGTCGAATCGGGTTTTTCAGGTGGCCAAAGTTTGTCAAATCGTCTCCGAGCGTGGACAAGGTTATCCAAAATCGCCTGGACTTGAGTTTGATCTAATTCTGACAAAGCAACGTATATGTTAAAAAGCTTTATCAACCTCTCTCAATCTGAAATTCCTAGCCTTCCGTAAAATAGTGATGTGATTGAAAAAGGTTAATTGTAATAAATTGTTCTTACTTGGTAGGCCTTTACGATTGCGTTCCTCTTCTTCAAGCATTCGCAGAACGGCTGAGTTGGCTAGATTGGCTGGTTTGTCGGTTACTGGATTTTGGAAGTCAATGCTGCGAAAGATAAGAAACATTAAATTTAGATATTTAGGAAACTCGTTTATGTTTGAAAACTAAATTGTCACTTTTTTAAAATCATGGCTAAAACGTACTTAATAAATAATAAAAGCTTAAATTAATTTGTAAATTTTTTCGTAACCTAATTACAGATTTTGGACATATATTAATTTGATAAACATCTAAACGAATTTCTATTACAATGGAAAACTTGAGTGTGTTAAATAAATTTATTACTTTGCAGGCTATAAAGCAATTGAGAAAATCGTGGTGAGAAAATACAGCAAGAACATGGGACAAAGAAGCGCTAACTCACTGATTGTGTTTCACAGTTTCCAATTGTATCACCAATAAACCATTTAAACAAAGTTAGTATTGAGCTGTGTAATCAATTTATTCCATTTTAATTAATTTCTTTTGTGACTCTAAGCATATTCTGAAAGGTCTTCTGTATTGGTTCATTTTATGGTTCAATACTAGTCACTGATTTCAATATATAAAGAAAAAGATTTAAAACAATTAAATGAGTTAAAAATATGAGTAGTTTAAAAGTATTATTGTCGTCAACTTTGTGCTAAGTATATAAAAAATAAAATAGTCTTCTCAATATATATTGTGTTATATAAAGAATCAGGTTTCCCTTCACCTCAAAGCATTGCCTTATATGTAATTTGACCGGTCACTTAACCATGTGTGATTCCATAACAAAACCTTTTACGTTCCCTGATGATATATTACATAATATATAAAATTAATCTCACATAAAATATCATTATAAGCAGCTAATGTTTCAAAAGATATTAGTTGGTACTTTCAAGCAGAATTTTGTGTCTTACAAAAATTTCATTGATATTTTATGAAATTTTATAAAGACAAATTCCTCACTTTCTTATACTTAGAAATATTAATTTTTGATTACTTAGAGATACGATTTTGGTTATGAATATTTTAAAAACACCTTACCTGTTAATTTCTATCGTTAGAGCCATATCTAATAATGAACGAAAGTAACAATAAAACAATATTTATGACTTCACTTGTCACTATAAAACAAATATATAATTATAATGCTTGATATCTTGCCAAATCACATGCTTTCTTTTAAATACCACGTGTGACCATAATACTTATATGTATTAAGAACAATGGATGTAAAAGTTAATTTTAGAGAAAGAACACAATAGAATCATAAAGTAACTATACAATTATAACGTAAACATTTAATTGTTAAGTGCAGCGCACGCGATGCGCTTGGTGACCGGCGACCACTGCGCACGCGCAGGCCTCAACCTCTGTGAGGTAAAAGCTGCAATGGTTAATTATACACGAACATAACATTTAACTACACGAATACCTTTCTTCTCGTCCACGGTATAAACATTTAGGTTAGGTATGCACGATGTTTATAGTTAGATAATTATAGATTAATTATTATTAAAATCATCACCATGACTTGAACTTGAGGCACTTTTATTACGGATTTAGAAGAAAGAATAAGTTATTTTCGTAAAGAAACATTGGATCCATCTTTTCGAATAGTTCAATGGATAAAATATTTTTATTTTATTTTCATATATTTACAACCAGTTGTTATTTGACATACTTATTTTTCTTTTATTTTTAATTTATAAATTGCAATAGAAGTTATGTAGGGCAGTTTAAACTGCAAATTTATGACTATAAATCTCATTGACCCGCTACACATGTTACAATTGCAATAAAATTTTGTAAATATTAAAAGCATTAAATGATCAAAAGTATTTTTATCACTGACATAGTAAACAAAGACCATTTGTCGAATTAAAATAATAGTGCCAAATATCTGACAGTCGTAAATCAATATATAGATACCATTACCTATTTGCAAATCGGATTGTGACTCATATGATTTTATTTTTAAATCTTTCTTGTCTATGTAAGTGATTCATTCAGTCGAAGTGCATAATGTATTTTTATCCATTACGATACCCGTGTTGCATTCTTGTCTGCAAGAGTGTTGAAAGATTTAAAGCGACCAACCTTTTATATTGTCAATGAAACTTCTGTTTATAAAGTCTTCTATTTTCGATTCATAAATTTATATAATCAAGTTCATTTTATAAATTTGTTAGGATAATTATTTATATAAAAAAATACTATTGTTGTTTGAAGAATATTTCACACGGGTAATCTTGGAGAACTATAACAATATCGCTAACAGAGCACTTAAGTCTAAAGGAAAATGGCTACTTGTTTAGTTTAGTGATACTAAAATATAGGATGGTAATTTATAACATTGGTAACTCAAACATTATTTGCAATAGTGGAAATTGACAAAAGTCTATCTACAACTTATTTTTTTCAAATTAAGTTTCATAAAAATTGATATTATTTAATAATTTTATAAGAAGGATTTTAATTGCTAGCAGTACATTAAGAAACTGTCATTAAACTTTTGTTATATCAAAAATAATGTTATTATATAATATACAAAAATTTGGCAGTTACTATATAAAAGTCGGTTGCATTCTTATTGAATTTCTACTCAATGACTTCTCACTGACTCTTCTTCACCATCATCAGAAAATATAAAGCAATTCATCCCAATAATATGAATAGAATGTAGAATGCTAGTTCATATCAAACGCTGCATTGTAATCTACGTGGACAATACAAATACAACATCTGTATTGTTGGAATGCTTTGAAACATGTTTAATATGAAACATAATTAAAAATCGCTATAATTTAACATGACTTTATATTATTTTTATATACGTATTTAACTTTGTAAATATAACTTTTAAGAACTTGGACGATAATTTTTTTGTAAGTGTTAATCTGTTTCTTTTGCAAAGGTAGTCTAGACTGTAGACGATATTGCCTTTAAGTGAAGTGTAAACTTTTTCCACCTTTGTTTCTTTTGTACCTATTTGCACTAAAAGTACATTTTTACCAAGACATTTTTCATTGTGTTTATTAAAATCAAATAAATTAATACCCTGCAGAGTGCAGCGTTCTATTTATCGATATAATCTATAAATTCAAAATATACCTTTGACTGAATGTATCGGGTTTCTAAAAGTACTGAATAGGTTTTCATGATACTTATTTCAATACTGAAGAATTAGAAAATTACATATTAAAATTTGAAGATAAGTATTTAGATTTAGTCATGCATCCGCGTCAGCTGGCCAAGATGCAAGAAGCAGTGACACACTCATGTTTGCAAATATTTTTAATACTAGTGAAAGTACCAACTATATTCTTTCAAAGTACAATTCTATTGCTGTAAATGTTGTTTCTTCTTATTAATAAAATAAAATGTTTTTCAGTCAAAAAGACGAGCAACATAACTCAGTCATATTACAATTGTATAGAAGGTTTATAATGCGAATGTAGTTTTAGGTGTTTATTTGTTTAGGACAAGCTCTTTGTGATGCATGTTGAGGTAAGTTTGGTTTGAGAACAATGTATTATTTGTAGTACAAACCCGACGGTGCCATTGTCGAGATTCTGCAGATGCTTATTGAGGGTCTCCTGGATATTCTGTTGGGAGTACAGGCCGATGGGAGAGTTGAACTGCTTGTGAACAATCTTCGGACCGGTAGACATCTTTGCAGTCGTTCGTTGCGCTGGAAATTATATACTTTAGTTGCTTGTAATCTAATCATACATTGATTATTACGTAAATTAAAACATATTTTTGATACAATTGATGTATGAGCATACATTATATATTATTAGTAAACAAAGTTATTGCTTCTATTAAACAAGTTCTATTCACAATAATTTATTATTATATTATGTACAGCTATAAAACCGGTAATGTGATATTACACGATTAATTGGAACCGTACGTTTATACTTTTAGACAAGAGAAAAATTGGATTGTCAATTTTTATCCTTCTCATGAGATAATTTTATTACAGTCTCGTAAGATTCATGGCTCGGGTTAGAGACTGAGCTCCACGTCTTATTACGATTTTATTAGCACAGGCACCGATGGCTACGGAAACATAATTTTTTTTTTCTGGATAACCGAACAGATATCTAGTACAAAAGATTCTCGTGTAGGCGAATATATTCTGATATAAATTTCTCTTTACCTTTAATAACATTTTCAAATTAGATCAAAGTGCTCTCAATTTATGAATTTGTTTATATAAATTTTAACGTACGAAATTACGCTGTACTTGAAATTGTTATAATTACCTCAACTTTATTAATTTGTTTTCCTGTATAAACTCTGCTATGCGTTAAAAGTGTATGGAGTACTGTTATGGTATGAATTAATTATCTCATATATGTTTATATATTTGAGAAACCAAATTATTGTACATCATGTGAACATTTCTATTTCATTTCACGGTACATGAATCTGTTATCTAGGTGAGATGTAAAGCAAAAACTCCTTAGATCGTAAACATTTTTCATAGTTACATACATTTCAAATAATATTTCAACGAGTGGAGCGGAAAATGCGTGGGGGCGTCTAAAAAAGATCACAGATATGTTGAAGATGTGTTATTTGAAGAATAAACGAACCTCTGTTATTTAGTACACATTATTTAACACGGGTATGTGGATTACTAATTAAATGGAACGTAATGTAAATCTTGCTCGCTATAAATCTAATTGGGATCACGTAGCATAAATACTTCGGCTAAATTTGTTGGTTTTATTGACAGCTAACATAGTAAGTGATTAGGTATTAATAACATTATTTTTGTATAATTTTATTATATAAAATAATGTTATTATATAAAATAGTTTTATTCATAATGCTGAAGGAATTAATCTATGCATCTGTTTTGTGGGGACAAGGTTGAGAACACCGTCATCAAGGTTGAAAATATTTCTGTCTTAACGTCCAGACTATCCGATGGATTTACAAAAATAAATTTCGCCTATTAACAAAAGCGCACGTCAAATGTATAAAGCTACTAGAAACATGATCAGGAAGTATCAGTCAGTAAGTATCTTAAGCAGTTATAATGTAATTGATACATTTCATCAAAATATCTTAAATCTTAAAACACATAGAGTGAAAACGAGACGTGCTATTTTTAAGTGTTATGGAGTAATGGAGATTATTTTCGTATATACGCCTGTTAGTAACATGTAGGCCGGTGCTATGGAAGGTGTGTGAAGTGTTTATAGTTATATGAAGAAGAAATTTTAGCTTAAATGTGAATACCTGTTCGGAGAAGTGTTTCGTGCGAGCGGCGAGGTAGCCGATCTCTAACTGATGGACGGGCGGGCGCCCACGCAGCTGAATATCTAAACTTTACAGGTAAATGTTTCATGAATATTATGCATACAAAAGCTTCTTGTACAATTGACATAGACTTGCTTAATAACCGCCTTACAGTAATTTCAATCAGATTAGATATATTATATGAAAATTTTGTTAATTCATCTATTTTCATGATCTTTTATATTAACCTGTCCTTACCTGTAAACAAATGTATATAAACAATACAATTAAGTCCTTGAACTAACACTGCTAATTGCTTATGACTAAGAGTCACTGATACTGACGAACGCTTACCAGCGAATGAACTAGCACCTTCTACTTCAAATAAGCCAGAAGTTTATTCTCTAGACTATTTTTAAATGAACAAAAATTTAGTTCGAAAATATCAACACAGTATTATAATATGAAATGTGTGAAAGGTTATTGATCTACAAAAGTTTCCGTTGATATTTTAATTGATATAATTCATTATACTTAATGAATTGATTCACTTAAAGTTTAATAATTATACAGTACATTATAATTTTCCACTTCACGTGATGTAATAAGCAACGTGTGTGATACTGACGAGGAGAAATTTTTAATTACATTTTTTTATGTACCGACGCTACCAACCGCCAGCTCCTTTGAATACAAATAAAATTGCTTGTCGAATTTACACCTAAAAAATTGTATTTCTTATATCTTCAAATATACTATGTTCATATAATTAAATAAATAAAATTATGAACTTAATATAAAATACCAACATTACATAATCATTATAATGACGTCATGAATTTTTCATACCGTTATTTACAAGTTCATGTATCACCTGCCGTGATGAATTTTTCAGTATGTATTATTTAAATTTTAATCACTATGTTAATCTGATTCGAGTTTATCTTCCTGAAAAATATTATGATTGCGTATAATATGATTATTTGATATAAAATTTACGTCATCTGTATGCATTATTGTTTCAATATATATGTACAATAATTGTTATTGTTTTAGAGTTACAAAAATAGAAGAACAGGTGTTCGGATGCAGGGAATCTCTGGCAAGGTTAGCTACGTATTATTTCACAGCATCGCAACTATTAACAGCAGATGGCAAGGAGAGTCGTGGGATGTGGCCTAGTTGGGCATTTTATTGTCATTTAGATGGTTGTCAATATTATAAATTTCATAAATATTTGTGAAAATTTAATGCATGTCTCATATTTTCATTAAACATTACCAAGCTTTGATTAAATATTATATTAATAGAGATTACTATTCGTTAATCTGGGTCATTGTCTATTTATTTTGCAAATGTATACACATCACGCTAGCCTCAACCTATTTGTATGATCTAATTATATTCATTTAAGGAGAATACATTAAATTATCGTAAATCGAGGTGTCATATAAATAATGATGTTTTGTGTTATAAATTTTTTATAAAAAAAAAAATATTAACTGAAAAACTACAGATATACTACTTTTTATTTGATAATATATATAATGTTTTGTATAACATAACATTCTATTACAAAATAAAAAGCTTACGTTTCTTACAAAAGTATTTTTCAATCTTATAATATCTCTAACAATCCGACTATTTTGTAATTAGTTTTGAAGAATGGTATATACTGAGCTGATCGTAATTAATTAAATAAACCTGATCGGTATACAGGGTGACTGGTGAATTACTATCGATATTTGAGGACGTGATATTTGACGATCATATATGCCGAAATAAAAATTAATATAACATAAATATTAATAAACTTCTAAGTAAAGTTAACCAAAAGTTGTGTAATTAATTACGCATCGTATGAACACCCTACAGATTACTCTACACTACACACTCACACATACGCGCGCGGCGGCGTGTTGTTGTATCAGCACGCCGCCGCACGCGTCCACACTAGGAACACTTGGAACGTGTACACACTTTATTTATTTATACGGAAATTTGGTCAAAAATTAAGTACCTATTTTTTTTACATAATTCAAATGAGAATCATGTACCGAGTATGCTCCTTAAATATTGATAGTAATTCACCAGTCACCCTGTATATAATTTTTTCATACAAGTCATATAAAAGAATTGTAATAACCTTCATAAAACGTACAGACGGTGAATAGCAAAATCATTTTATTAAGTTACGTAAATCTTCTAAGAAAATCGAGATAGTGTACTGCTTATGACAGACTGACGTACACAATGTCTCAAAGTAATCGGCAGGTGCATGTTATACTGGTGTCGACAGCTGTTAAAGATATCTTTAACAACTAGAGAAAAAAACTCTATCGCTTCTATTGTACTATTGAATTTATTTGAATATTTATTACTATTATAGTACATTTTTGAATCGTCGATAAATTACGTTTCTGTTAAGTCAAACTGATACTTATAAATTGTACTTTTCACAACTTCTCTTGATAAAAAAAACTCTAATAATATTTTCCATTTAGGTTGTCTTGTAAAGAAATCGATATATGATTTCATCTATCATTACTTTATGTTTTTGAAAGCATGATAGAATATTTATTATTATTTATTTGAAATAAACAAATTCATCATAGTGTTTTCATAGGACGACATATGTGTAAACAAAACAACAAACCGTTATGTTTAGTTTGTATTTTCTTAATAAGAGATTTCTTTTATATTCCTATAATATTTATGAGATATACTATCGTTTGTGATTCAACTTTTTATACTCTATAAGCAATTATATGATGAAATTAAGTTTATTAAGTTTCATATATAATTTTAGTACACATAATAAATGTCTAAAGTGGAATGCATATAAATCTACTATTTCTAATTGTAACTATAACGATAGAAAGAAAGAAATTAACTATTTTACATTTTGCTAAATGTATGAAAACGAACCTATTAACAAAACCATAATAAATTTCATACAGGTCTACTTTATTTTATTGCCACACTGATATTAACTTCGTTAACTTGCTGTTTTAATTAAAATTTTTGAACAGTGTAAGGAAATTTTTTATGACTTAGATAAATATTTTCATTATTCTTCTAATAGAAAATATTTATATTTAAAGACAGTGACACTTATTTAACAAATAACCAAGGTTACGAGTATAAAGGTGTCAAGAACTTATTGTTACTGATTGTTACGTATAGGCTATTACTTAGAATTTTAATCTTTTTAATATTTTATATCGAAAAAACTATTTTATTAATTTCTTTACTCCATCAATCCTTCAAGACCGTATTATAAATTGCATAACTTTTATAGACACAAAGTATAATGTACGTTTAGTTGTAATTGAAATCAAGTATTTTTCTCCAAGTTAAATAGTAAGCTAGATCCGTTTAGCGTAGTATTTTAAGCAGCTTTCGAGCTCGCATTTTAATGCCCATATCTCTCAGGAACAGAAAGCCGGAAATCTCCAGTAGGCTGATTCACGACATAATAACGCTTTTCCACTGCCTCATTTAATTCTTAAAGGATTTCACTAGAAGCACATTTTAAAAGGGGGGTTTTCAAGTAAATTGATAGTGACTTGTTGGAAATAGATACGAAATTTAATATGATAAAATATGTATTGTCTGCTAGTTTCCAAATTGCATTTTAATATTCGTAACACAAATACAAATATGTCGCATCTAAATAAGGTTGTTTTGAAGCAATGAAACAACAATGTTGTATTTAGATTTATATTTCAACTTATTAATCTATGATAACTTTATAAACATATTTTTTTTGGCTACTAGCTGTAATAGAACTCTTTGAATTGTGACAATAGCGTTAGAAGAAATTGTACATTTATCCAGCTCATAAAATGTAGATTTCTTCGTATAAATGCTGAGATAAAAAACAACTAAATACATAGAGAGTTCATAGATCCAGTAATAGTTTAGCTACGTAGTAACTTTAACGACATAATATATACTATCTGATTATGTACATATAGCTTATAATAATTAATGTAATTGAATAACATCAAAATTGATATTTAAAATTTGACACTTCAACGCAGTAAACAATTAGTTTTCGCCTAAGACATAAATTTGCTGATAGTTGTATGGAGCGGAGAATATAAATTTACTTAGAGATATCGTGTATTCTGTTTGTTCAATTCTGTTGTCTGTCGTCCTCGCTGCTTGCCTTAACTTCCTTCTGAAGAGCCGACTGAAAATATTTATGTATTTAATTTGACAATATAATCTAGATATAAGAGGGCTTAATTCAGAAATAATTCTAATTGCTTCTATAAATAAGAATTAATTTGCATTGCACGTGTAAAAGTTACCTCAAACGGCAGTAAAAATGAATTATCAGAGCGGCGACCGAACCGAAGTCTCATAGAGGGAGCTCGTACAGCGCGATCCTGATCCTAAATAAAAATACAAATAGCTATAAAAATGAATTACACATAATACGGTAATTAAGTTTCCTCTCGCGTATCGGCTATAACAAGATCGTTTCAATATATCCTCAACGAACAAATATTACCAAACTTTTGTAAAAACCAATTGAAACTAATATTGCGTAATTGCATTGCGGAAGTAAAAATTTGGGACTGTTCGTCATAAAACGAAGCTATTGTGGTAACGAATGGCGGTTTGTGAAGGTGAATAAGTTTATCCCACGTGTTTATAGCGTTGTAGAGATTTTATGATGTCCCGACCGGTGTGGGGTGACTTGAGTTTTATTGAATAAGACACGTAGCATACAGTACGTGAGAAAAGTTTTAAGTTTTTCTAACTCTGTATATACAAATGTAGAAGACAGTTATCATTGTAATAAAAAAGAGGACTTAGATTTTCATATACAAGATGGCGAGACTCATTAGTAGTTATAAAATGAAATAGAAATCCATCGTAACAAATAATATAAGAACGAATATTGTGTGCAAAGTCTGGTAGTTTTTATAGTCACAATTTATAATACATATAACACTCTCATTAACCAAATATCATATTTCAGTTCAGTTCATTTGTGAATATTGTAAACCTGAAAACCCTCATTATAACGATAAAAAAAATTTATTTAATGCCATAAACCAAAGACGATACAATAATGTTAAGAATAAAATATTTTAATTTTTTAAATCAGGCAGTAACTTAGCTCAAAATAAATATTTTTGTTACTATCGTTGTCATACCTCCTGAGGAAAGATGTGGGGTACGGCGCGTTCATCGGAGCGGCGACCGAAACGTAGACGAACCGGGGTGCGAGTCTCACGCAGGTTGAACAACTCGTCCATCTCATCAATCTGGAAAAGTAGCTAGGTTAGGACAAGCTGTGTGTGTACTTGGTTAAGACTTAGTGTTGGGCGAGACAATGTGTAAGGGTTAAGATAATATGCGCTGGTTTGGTTATGTTAGGTCATTTGTGTTCGAAAGTGTCCTAAACATTATGACACAGTGAAATTTCAGGAGTTTTTACACATGTACCAGTGGTGTAAAGTCATATTATTGGAGAAATAGTACTTTGTCTATCTGTACGTAGGTAGAATAGGAAATGTAGAAATATTGATTTCCTAATATGAAGTGAATATAAACTTCAAATTTAAAGCTTTGTAAGGAAATCTAAAAGAGCTTGTCATGAGAGCTAAAATTTTAAGAGCAAATGTAACATTTACAGAGTATGTCGAACTCTAGAATAATGTTGCTACTACAATAATTATGGTTTTACAACTACTAGTTACTACCACTTAAAGATATATAAAAAGATAACGAAATAATAGTTTGTTATTATTAAATACATTATTGCATACAACCTGTTAATTCTGAATGCAAATTAAACAAGAATCCATGAATGTGAAAAGCATATCAAAATAAACTTCAAATAGCTGATACTTTTGTATCATTTTTATAATAATTTATACAATGTCCCATTGAAATTGTACGCGACATATTCATGCACCAGATGTGCTTATATGATAACTAGCATTTATGTTATGAAATAAAATTATTTTAAAATAAATTCATATTCTGATAAAGTGAATTAATCTTTGTGATTCTTTAGCCACATGTGTTAACCTTAGACTAATATTGTAAATAGGTAATAATAATACAAAGAAGCAAAATTTTAGTATTAAGACGTTTTTTATCCCATATTTTATGTTTTAAATTAACCCACATCACCAATAAGAAAACAAAAACCTATTTGCCGTCAGGAAAATCTTTGTTAAATTTTAAAGCTCTACCACACTGGCTAAGGAAATTATCATAATTGTAAATTGCTTAGAAAGATTTAAACAACGATTAACATAAATTCAAACCCTGCTTCTGTTTGTTCTACAGTGTTCATAAGAGCATACGTAAGCGGTTATTCGACTATCGTTTGAAATTTTAACAGAACTTAATCCACATGAAAATTTCGTGAAGCCAAAAAAGGCTATATATTGTAATAACAACAGTATTAGCTACTATAATATGTTATTGATGAATATATTTCACATTTCCGTATTAAAAAATAATACTTTATTGCGTTGAGCCTCAAAACTCTTGACACAATAACAAGATATTCTCATTTTGTTTATATCCGACGACGCGGCGCTTAGTAAATGGAGTCGAAGGGATCGTTTTCAGCTACTGTCGGCAAAACACAGAGTAACATTATCCACTTTCATTTCAGCTTTATCATACAGCCTCCCAAAGATATTTATATCACGAGATTACAGTTAGCTTTTGTAGAATATAAAAACGTTTGATTAGTTTTCATAATTTAATATAACTTTCTTTTAATGGTGACGAACATTTATTTTGTTTTGAATCCTATAAACTATAGACAGAGATACTGTTATGAGTATATGAAATATAATTAGTTCGATAGAATATGAAACTATATGAATTAAATTAATAATTCAGACTAAGTTTCAGACATGCTTCTAGCTTTATATCAAGTGTTAAGTGAAGAGTTTACCGGTGCCTGAGGTGGCATTTCAGGATCCGAACGACGTCCGAAGCGCAAGCGGCGGGAAGGAGAGCGAACAGACTTGCGAGCTAGCGCGTGTCCATCAAGAGCATCATGCTGGGCTAGAAGAGCGTACAACCCGCCCAATGCATCCCAGCCGCTGCGACTATCCAACGCATTACCTGTTAAACAAACAAATAAATATAATGTATGTACATAACTTTATACATAGGTTGTACCTTGCTACGTACGCGCTATATATGAAGAACGAAATTAATATCATCGGGACAACATCGTTGTATGGACAAAATGTCATATAACGAGTGACGCATCTGACTCCGCGGCACGAACACCAAGCCGTGTGAACCAAGATTCCTGATTCCATACAAGCAATGGAGTTTCATTGCTATCCTAATATCGGAGCAATCATGTTGTCTTAGGTATAGGTAATAAGTTTAAATATATAATTCTTATTATAATATAATCAAGTTTCAAAGTTCTTCTGAAACCTCTGGTAGCCACCCTATATAATTACCTCAATAATCACAATGTTATTATTATGTTTGTTTATATTCACAGCACATGAATGTGTCTGCATAACCGCAGGGAATCATGACGTATGGTTGATATTGATTTAAATCAAACGTAATTTGGTAAACCAATGATTATATCATTCGTGTATTCAATACGATTATCTCTATATAGTGAACAAATTTAGCATTATTATAGGTGAATTATTACTTACAAATATAAGTAAATTTTTGCAACATCACAAAACATCTTAAACTAGTAGTATGCAACAAATAACTCATACATATCTATTTCAATTAAGAAATAGGTGACAGTAAAAATGTGATACATATTTCACTTTGATTTTTTATGTATTGGAGCTTTGGAATGCAGTGATAAATAAGGAGATGACCGTTGTCAGGTAAAGGGACTATTGCGTAGACGAGGTGATTTGAGATTTTATTATTACAGATAGGTATAAATAGTATTGGACTTAGAATAAGAGACGGCAAGAAATAGCAATATAACTAAATTACCATTTAATTTTTTAGGGAATTTAGAAGCTAGTTTGTAGTAAAGAACTATTTGGACGTAATAAAATCTTCACTCAATTTCATGACAACAACTGAAAAAGGCTATTGTAAGATTATTAGTACTGATAATGCTAATTTTTTACCACAGATCAAATATCGAAATAGAAGTATCATTCTATAAGAAAATAATCAATCTTTTTTTCTATACATTCTTGGATGCAGTATTTCGTTAAATATTATCTTACAGACGTAAGGTTTACAACGTCCAATTTATACGTTTGTGAAAAAGATTTGTGAAGAGGGTGACCTCTTGACGAAATGCTATTGAAATCGCGAGGTCCATTGTTAACATTGAATATTACGAATATATTTGTAGTCACGATTCTCATAACACTTTATTACTGAAAATATTTAAATCTATAAAACTCCTTTTCTCAAAATTAATTAATATTATTTTCGTTATCATTCATTATCATTAATTAAAAATATACGTAGATTTGTTTGTAAAATTTGCATCGATTTCAATTTCTGATAAAAATTCTTCTGTCTCTAATCTGTAACTATAACAAGAAGGTATAATTTATCGACTTTCACTACTACTGACTTGAAACACTATATTACGTAAATTATACATATATTACACATTAATGCCGTATATGAGTTTTTTAAAATATATTTCTATATAAAGAAACTGGTAATGCTCTGGAATAAAATCTGATTTTAATATAATAATAACGTTTTAATACGAACACAATTTCAACGTTTATGTGCCATCAATTATAAAATATTAAATTATTTAAATTCATATTCATCTCCGCTTGTACTTCGTTAACATTGTGTTATTACATTAAAATATGCAAATACTTCGTTAAACCGCCGGATCCAATTAGTGAGTGTTATGCTCCTATTACTATCGCATACATATGTCAATTTTATATAAATGTCAATTTTAGATACGACACAATTGAAAATGACGTAAATTAATTGTTGAATTTCATTTCATACGTCATCGTTTCACATAAAATGATAACATAATAATCATTATTGCAGTATAAGCAACAAATTTACCAATCATCACAATAGAAACTTAAATTATTAATATATTGGTTTATGTGAATAAGTTAACTATTGTAAGGGAAGCATCATTTAGAAATATATCAGTTTAAATGAGGTTGTAATTGCTGTTTAACATCAACCCGTACTTACGAAAAGAATTTAATTGACTTGTTGAAACATTAAGTAATCACTCTTAAATATTCCTAAAATCATTTTGGAAAACAGCTAAGAACTGTCGAGAAGCTGGCTTTCACATGAAAAAACCGCACTAAAAACGGTCGACCCATTTGGGAACTACAGTGCTGCGTCTAACTTAAAGCACCCCTCTTTTTTGGTCGGGTTTTGAAAATGGTTTAACATTTCTCGAATTTTATTAATCGTATTAATGATAGCTACAGAGCTCGCATTATTTAACAACATGCAAGTAAAGGACAATCAACTTTAATACAAAATAACACACATTGCAAATATTTAACATTGGAGGAGTAATCAAAATCTATTTAAATTTTAAACAAATAAGAGGCAACGAACTCTATAGGATATATTTGTTATCTTTTTCTTTCTATAATGATTTTGAATTTCTAGTTCCAACTCGTCTATTTGGTATTAATAAAATCAAAAAAAAGTTTATTGAACAGTAAGTGCTATGTGTGAAATTCAATAACAATTCATAAAGGATATGAGATAAAATTTATAAAAAATACATTATCTTTATATGTTTACAGAAACCAACAGAAAATAGTGTTGAAATACCCCGAATTATTAAAAGCGTCCCCTTATTTTAATATAATCATTTGTTACAAGCCCCCTTGTTTATTTTTCCATACAATTTATTCCCATACGTGACTCGTAGGCGTAGTTTAGATTTATGAGAGTGCGTTTAACCCAGTTTGCGACGTTGACACTACCAGTAAAATAGTTAACAGTGAGGGTATTTGCGGCTGTTCCACTACGGAAACAAGGAAGAACCACTCTTTATGGTAATGTATGATAATTCTGATATGAAACATGTTATTGTGAAGTTTTAACGAAATAAGATTAGTCTTTCGCTGATGTTTTTTTATTGTGAGTATGAGAAATGTAGGCTACCAATATATTTATTATAAGTAGTCGAGAATTCGTTTTCTTGCAGCATTTTAGGAAAAAATATCGAGGCAAGCAATTCCAAAAAGATTATTCAGTTCGTGTTTTGTTTAGAAACTGTTCATACATAACCAAGCGCCTGTGATGCAAAAAAAGTCTGTTTTTAAATACAAAAACGTTCACATGTAATTAATCTCAATGAAAAGATGCTTTAACAAAATGTTTATCATTAGGTAAATTATGGTCTTGTGATAATAACTATGAGATATTAAAAATGTAAAAAACTTAAGTGTAAATTTTTTGCGATAAACTGCGTGGAATCAGAAGCTATTTATTTCGTTCAATCTAGAGGCTTTATAGCTCTATACAAGCCTATGCCCTATACTTTGATGCTCTAGCACCAACAAGAAATATTTGTTGAATTAATAATGTTTAAATTGTTAAAAATTTAATACTGTTTAAATGGTCAGTGGTGGTTAAAAGGCCCGCCTCTCATGCGCGGCGCGGGTTCGATCCTGGCCCTGGCAAGTACCACTGTGATTTTTCGGAGTCATATGTACTTACTAAGAGTATTTAGACATCACTGATTAATGCATTCCCAAAGAGGGTTGATGTCAGGCAAGCGGCTGGTCGTAAAAAGAATTAGCCAAAAAACTATTCACAACATATAAATCAGACCCTGGCTAAATCTGGGAAATTGACAGGTAGAAGAAGAATGTTTAAATTGGCTTATAATAAATAAGGAAATTTTATCATAGGTGAAAATTATAAATAAATTAAAATAAGAAATTAAAAAATCGTCTTCATTAAATATCCTAACCAAGAATGATTTTTAAATTTGAACTATTCTTTTTTAATAGCACAATGCCTTACAATTATGTAATAAAAAGAATTATTAGTGAAATATTCAAAAGAAATAAAAATACGAGTATATGAAAGTAACGCGAGTACGTATCAACGAAATTGTAAAAATAACAAGTTATTATAACGAATGAAGTCAAGCAAATATAATTCACTGTAAGATAAACTTACATATGACCGAAAAAAGTTAAAAGATATTCCATATTTTTGATATAATATAGCTAATATTTTTTTATATAAATGAATATTTTTATAAGTGTATATAAAACTTACCGTCGTAAACGGTTTGCGCGGATGTCGCAGGCATGCACAATACAACAAATCCGTAGATCGCCAACGCCAGCATTGTTTTACGGGACATATCTGAAAAATAAACAATACATTAATTACAAGGTATTTACAGAATTATAAACTTCAGTTAAATAACTTGGAGAATCATCGAATACTCGTTAAATAAATCAAACCTAAATAGACATTGTTCCTTCAAGATGTTTGAACTTTGATATTTTATTAAGATATCCATAGAATTGTATGGGGGCAAAGTTTGTTTCAAAACAAACGATGTTGTAATTTAGCAATGTTCTCTTTAATGTTCGTTTATTTCTTATTCTGTTTCAGAGTTAATATTAAAATATTAGTATTATAAATATTCTCAGTTCATTATATCTTTAGTTACGACGGATGTCCTTTAAAGAATTATTTATAAGTTTCCTTCTAAGTGCTTTTCAAAATTTTATGAAGTAAATTATTTTTTTTATTTTAATTATTTCATTTTTGAATTCTTGCTAACGATTCATTAATCTGTCATTGTGGATTGTTACAAATAATTCAGTATGAAGTATTATTTTGTAAGTGATTTTATTGACATTTGGATAAAATTTAATTTTTGCAGAAATTCTTTTAATCCTTTATTAGCACTTAGCATACTTCATAACATTTGCCTCCAACGAAATTCTAATTAGGTATATTTAAAAGTGAAATTCCTTTCCCATATCAGCATTATGTAGTATGATATGTTAAATCAATTTATTCTATATGAAATTCCTATAAAATGATTTATGCTGTACGAATAATAAAAACATATTTTCTGCAATTCAACAAGTTGAGCAATGTGCGGTGATGATATAACGTCGCTTCAGGCTGACGTAGCAGTCGTGACGTCATCAATCACCCTTATCACCTAGCTTGATACGCCCCTATATCACACGCGTTTTGGTTATTAACTTTAATATTACATTAACATATGAAAAATCAAAAGCTATATATAAAACACTAATAGTTTTAATGAGCTTAAAAATAATAGTAATTATAATAAATTTTGTATTAAAATTGTAATTCATTTACTATAGTATATAAAGTTACATAATTTTGTTATTTATTTTATATTATAAAATAAAAATGTTCAGAAACGTAAGTGTAGAAGAATGAAAGAGTAATTTGCTAAAAGGTGACAAATAACATTTTTATGTACATCACCAGACACGATCTCTATCGCATCCAACATTTCTTTCTAACTTAGTTATTGAACTCAAGTACATATATCTAGTTCTCTAGTTTATATATTCATTGATAGTTCCTTTAACCAGATGCTACCTACATCTATAGAAGTTCGATCGACTCAACTTTCCTAGAATATCACAGTTTAGATGCATTAGTTCGAGACAACTACAAATTATATGAAATCTAATTTACAAGCTCATGCGTTCCAATTATAAACTTCTTGACATAGTTTATCTGATATCCAAAGTAATTCATCCCAGTAATAACTATTCAAAGTATTTATAAACAATTAATTCCTGTTATTACGCTAGGAATTTCCTCACTCAATTTGCGAATATCGAAACAGTATAGAATAATTTTACTTCTTGTCGATGTCTTTTTATTAAGGACAAATGAGAGTGTCAATTACTGATGTATACTCAATATTAAAATTTGTTACGTGTAACTAGTCACGACATAATATGTCGATGTATAAAGAAGAGTTCTAGAAGGGAAAAATAAATTGTATTGACATTAATTACCAAAAAGTTGAGTACCACGAATATTGAAATTCTGAATAATATACATGTATATGTACTATTTTCATATTATTAATGAAAGCCACATTAAATGCACCTATCTTTTAATTTTATTAATGTATGAAGTTACGTAAACAACTCATGAACCCCACACAATCTCGTTGCTAGAAAACATTTCTCATTTCGATACTAAACAGTCGTCATTTGCAGCGAAAGCTATTTTCATATTTTCTGCTTCTATTATTCAACTGCTCATGTTTTCATCGGACGTTCAATCTTTACGATCCTTTCGAAAGCTATTTCCGTGAAATCAAAGTGTATGTCAAACATTTCAAAAATTTTAATGTTCTTATATTTTAGTTGTATATGAAGCTACTAGCTACTAGCTTCTAAATTCTTATTTAAGAATATGTTCTACGTAGGTACAATATGTATAGACATATATTTAATGGATACATTTTTATTTAATAAATACAATTTATCTAAGCTTTGAGTTATTATATTTCTCATGTAACTTTAAAATTCAGTTAGCAGTAATATTGGAATCTGAATCTAAATTAGTTAAATTCTCTGAATTACATATGTAGTATGTACTAGTTTATATTTAAATATGAGTTCGCAAAATCTCGTTTGTTTAATAAATATGATGAAACCAGTCATGTATAAATCTAAAAGGAATCTGAAATAGTTTTTACCAAATATACTAAAAATATTACTAATATAATATCTTATTACTTTGTCATGATAACTATTATATATTAAGTCACTCGCCTTTAATATTAATTGCAAAACCTCGATTCAATGCCTTCCTTCATTTAAATTTCCCTAATCAAATTTAATAATATAAAAGATTCTTGACTGTTTTATATTTTAAAACGTTAGACAACAAGTAATTTTCTTTATGTACGAAGGTCAATATAATTCATATAGTTTGTTGTGATATCTATACGGCTAGCATGAAGGGTGAACTAGTCTTTGATCCGCGAACCGGCAAATTGGTTGTCGACGCGACTCACGCGATACCTGTACATTGTACACTTATACTTTACACAAAATTTGAAGTTTATACCAGTTCAAAATTTGATATATTTTAATATATTTTTCAATACACTTCTATATACATATTGATGTTACTAATATGTTAAACTTTAAAATCATTGTTTCAGACTATTATCATCGAGATTTATTTTTAGATAATTTATAAGAAAATTTTCATAATCTATAGCTGTTAAGTACTTATTTAAAGTTGTTTATTATAAATACTTATAATTTAAATAAATAATGGGTTTAAGATATTATATGTAAATTATTATAGTGCCGTCATAAAATATTACCAAGCTAAATAAAAATATAAAATATATTGTCCTGTGTAGAAGAAAAACTGCGACGGTGAAAAATATTAACGGTACTATGGACATTTAAGGTGCGCTGTATACAATATTAGGTTTTAAAATTTTGTAAATTCTTTTTTGAAAGCAACAAAGAGAATACAGTATAAAATTACAAAGATGGAAAGAACTGAAAATTTAAAACATTTCAATGACATGCAAAAAGTTATCCATTCGATAAAAAAATATATGAAGTTCCATTTTAAAATGATAGCATAATTTTAAATAGTATCCGCATTGGAATGAAAATATTATTTGAATTAAAAAATACAATTGTAAGTCGAGAATTCAAGAGAAAAGAACTTGCTCTGGGCTACGAGTATTTTGTATACTCGATAGCCCGTTATTTATTCATTATCCTCCTTATTTTTATTTAATAAAATCATGATTCTTCCAAGCATGTCAATATCATAGAAGTGTTATCAACTTTGTATGGTTCTATAAGTTTAATTACTTCGTTGAGGACAAGAGCGACTAATTTAATGATATCATCTTAGTTTAATAAAGCAAAGTTGATCAATTGAACTGAAGAAATCACAAAGAGGATATTAGGAAAGTTGTCTTCTCAGAATTTATTGTAGAATTATTTAGAATTAATTACAGTAAGCTGTAATTTGATTTTAATATATTTTAATTCAGTGTTATGACGTTAGTATGCAAAACTGCAATTTTATGTATAAATGTAATAATATTATTTAAACTTATAAAAATGGTTCTGAAACATTTTTCGTTTTCTGAAATAAATATATTACATTCCGTTTTATTGTTTCGTAAGAAGGCATTTTTAAATTTAATAAAGCTTGGTATGGTATATTTTTTTTAACAAAAATAAAAATTTCATTCACGCAAAAAGATTTTCTAAAACAGAAATGGAAGTGACACGATCAGATGAATATAGATTTCTCACGAAAATTCGTGTAACATAGCATCGTACGAAATACATCACTCAAGGTAGAATCGTAGACGTTGCACTCTTAGAATAGTAATGCTTTTACGTGTCATACTTTTATAAAACACCATACTAAAGGAAAAAGAACAGCATATTACAAAAAAAAAGATAAAATTCTGCGACAATTGTGACAGACAGAAAGTAGGCCAGTTGGCCCAAATAATTCTATTTATCAGACCCAAATAATTGAGATTCATATTTTACTTGGCTCTACCGGAATTTTAATGTTATCAGAGATAAATCAAGACCGAAATGTTATAACATTAATGATTTCGTGCTAGCAACAGACTGATTTATATCTTAGCTACACCACAAGTAATACGCAGGTAAGTGGTATTCAAGAATAACTTCAAAGATCAAAGCGTCAATAGGAATTGGATTAGCTCTTCATTCCATTAAATAATTTTGGAAATCAAAGCGGTCACGGTTTATTGGCAGGCTGTATTAAGCCAATACGTATTTAACTATGAAAAGATGATTTATTTCATTTCGCAAGCCCGTGTAACCCTTTGCTTTAATTTTATAAACATTCAATAAAGTTATACAAATGAATGTTAGGGTTAACTAGAGTGATGAAGATTAATTATGAAATATCGTTAGCTTAAACTTTTGATTGATTTATATAACTTTTAACAGAGTTTTGTATGCCAGTTATAAAATGTTAAATAATTTTATAACGTTTATATAATTTGAAATTAAATACTAAGTTGATAGGTATTTTCATCATATAATTTGGGAAATCTTTCTTAACTTTCTATGGCTATTTAAATGTCGATTTTTTTATATAATTCAGAAATATTACTGTTCTTATATTCGTGTAAAACGTACTGTTAACTTAGTCTACAAAATGTAAGTGTTACTTTAATATTTAGTATCCATTCACTATTCCATTATTTTTTTCGTTAAATTTATTAAATCATTATTGTAATACATTAAACAATATATGTATATTTAATTTAAAAGGTAATTTGATGTTCCCCACAATCTATTTCTAGTTTAAATTACA